TGTTTGCAAAACAAAAGGAATATCAAACCTAGGGCAAGCTAAAATAGGTGCAGAAATCAGCGCATTCTTAATTTCTTCAAATGACTTTTCACACCTAGCATCCCAGTTAAATTTTACTCTTTTACGCATAAGATTTGTCAAAGGAGCAGTGACTTCTGAATAATCTTTTATAAACCTACGATACCAACTAGCCATACCCAATATCTGGCGTACTTGTTTCACATTTGTCGGAGGCGGAATATTAACAATCGCAGCTACCTTTCCCGGATCTACATGCAAACCTTTCCTATTTACGATATAACCAAGATATTTTAATTCTGGTTTACAAAAATAACATTTCTTTCTGCTAATACTTAACCCAGCCCTTTTTAACCTTCCTAGGACTTCTTGCAAAATTTCCAGGTGCTTTTTAAAGCTCGGTGCGATAATAATTATATCGTCCAGATACACAAATACGAATGGTTCCAACTCTGGGCCAAGAATACTATCTACTAACCTCTGAAAAGTTGCCGGCGCATTATGCAACCCAAATGGCATGCGTTTAAATTGAAAATGACCTCGGCCAGAAATAGAAAAAGCGGTAAGAGGACAACTTTCCTTAGATAATTTTACCTGCCAGTACGCGCTTTTAATATCGAGTGTTGAAATATATTTAGCACCGCCTAACTTACTTAAAATTGAGGTTATGAAAGGTAATGGGTATGCATCGCGCTCTGTGACACTATTTAATTTACGTAGATCTACACAAAATCGATGAGTACCATCTTTCTTGGGTACTACTATAACTGGGTGTGCCCAAGGACTACTAGACTTTTCAATGACTCCTAGTTCTAACATTTTATTTACCTCCTCATCGATAATTTTTTGTTTAAATGGAGACACAGGATAAGAACGCTGTCTAATTGGTTTACTCTTTGTTATAATTTCATGCTCAACAACATTTGTAGTACCTAACTGATTTTCCTCAACTCCTAAAAAATATTCATCAATAACTTTATCCAAAGCGGCTACTTCCGATTTTCCTAAATCACTAACTCCCTCTATATTGTTTACTAAAACCTCCTCTAACAATTCCGAACTAAAATGCCACTCCCCCTTTCGCACATCCGGGACTATTCCCATTTTAGCCCAAAAATCTATGCCCAAAATTAAACTATGGCGTAACTGTGGAATTACGTATACATCTATAACCCGAACAACATTTTTTAACGTAATTGGTAACTTAACGACCCCTAAACATTCACATTTATCATTATTAGCAACTGTACATGAAATATTTTCTTTACTTTCTAGTGTGACTCCTAAATCTTTAATAATATCCCAACCTTTACCTCCTAGAAACGTCCTATTTGCGCCTGAATCCAATAAACCGAAAAAATTATTACCCAAAATATTAACTTTCATGTAGGGACACTCACCCTCATCAGCTTGTGATAAAATAAAATCAAGGATTATTTTCTGCTTATTAAATTCAGTATCGGTGGCCAAAGAGTTAACAGCAATCGAAGAATGGCCTAGTCTTGTTGCTGCGATCCGTTTCCCGAATTGCATTTTGGACAAGTCCTACGAGTATGATTCGCCGTTCCACATGTAAAACATTTAATACCCCCCTGTGCATAACAATGACGAGCTATGTGACCCTGTCTATTACATTTCCAACATCTACGATCATTACTGGATATATTTACATCCCTACATTGCGCTTGCGTATTCGGTTGAACACGACTATACTGAGCTCTATTATTACTACCTGATGAAGATGGTATACATGACAACTCCGGTTCCACACAAGCTTGACGTGACTGCGAAGGTGGTTTATAGTGTTTTACTCTATAGCGTTTTGTCTCTAATTTAATACACTCCTCCTCGAGTTCTTCCAAACTACTTACAACCGGCAATTCCATTATATAGAATGGTGCTAAGTTTTGTAACACTATTTCCAACTTCGTAGCCCTATCAACTCGACCATAACGATTAAACAGTGTATTTACACAACTTAAATAGTCCTCTATCCTCTCATCCGGACCTTGAGTTCTCGCGAGAATTTCCTGAAATAATCGAGTTTTATAATCAGGTGGCAAATAACGTCTAAGCAAAAGATGTTTTAAATCTTTCCACGATTTACACTTATGAATAACAGAAGTGTACCACGTATAAGCTTTTCCCTCAACCAAATCTATTGCAGAATCAAATAACTCTTGTTCCGAAACATTACGCGCCTTACACATGACGTCAACCCTTTCCAAAAAATCAGTAACTGATAAAACATTATTATCGCCAGAATATTTAAGATTCCATTTCCTAACAGGTTGGTAATTTGTTTTATGTTTATCTACAAAGGTAGAATTACTAGCATTGGGAGTCACAGGTTCTGAATCTGAAGAATAGTCCGATTCTGAATAATCTGAATTACTATTCCCACTATTTGGACTTTTAAGTATGGAGCTAATATTAAAATCTTTAGATTTAGTTCCCTTAACTAATGCACTAATTAAAGCTGAAACTTTTGCTAACCAAGTACTACGTAATTTTAAGTTATCCTGCGACGCATTGGCTAAAGGCGCTCTATCTACTCTGCCTAGTAAATGCAACAACCTAGAAGAATAACGTTTATAGGTGTTACTATTTTTATCACCAGCAAAATCTTTAATTAATTTAGCTAGTTCTACATATTTAGACTCAATTTTTGGAAATTCCTGCTCATAATTATAAGAAAACTCGCAATACTTAACCGACCTATCTTTCCTTTCTAATTTAATAAGAGGACGTAACGTAGCTCTCATATCGGCAGATGTCATATCTGTAGTATTAACTCCTCGATAAGTTAATTCTACCTCCAACTCGTCTTTCTTTAAATGGCCGACCTCCATTTTATCAACCATCGTTAATATTAACCAATAAATTAACAGTATTAAAAGAATAACTCAATTAATATAAAATAACTAAATCAATAAAAATAACTCAATCAATCAAAAAAAGGAATTCTGAAAATAATTTGTTCTTCCTTATCACTGCCTTTTCCTGCCTTTCTTAATTAATTTAAAAAATAACCAGACGCCAACTTGTCTATAAAACCAAAGTCTATAACTATAACTTACTAAACTAAAAAATATTTTAATTTACTTTACTTTTATTCAATTACCACGTTGGGCGCCAAATTTGTTACCACCTTTTTACGGTGGTGACAGTTAGGGTCCAGCAAACTAGGGCCCGGCCCGCTAGCTCAAGGGAAGGGAGTGGTTCGACTTAAAATTAAAATGTATATTATGGGCGCCAGATAATTTTTGCGGTACAGATTCTCCAGGCCTTCAAACTATCAAACTTCTACTAGTTACTATTCCCGATAACAGGTTTGGAATAAGGCAGCAACAAAATAAAGTAAGAACTATTTACAAAATTTAATAATAAAATATAAGATGTATAAGTGTAAAATTAATAAATATAATATATAAATATTACTGATTATCGTTAATACCAATATTCGTATTGTAATGCTTAACAAAAAAATAATTCTGGTAAGTAAGGAAACTTAATTATTAATAATTAGTAATTGTAATTATTCTAATTTGGCATAAATTTGATCAAATTTGTTTACCGCACATAAATTAAAATTTTCTATTCATCAAGTTAATAATTAATTTTAAATAATACAAAATATAATACCTAAACACATCTTAAAAAAACAAAAAAAAAACTAATATTAAACTTATTTTTCAGAACTCCTTGTAATAGATATATATTTAACGATCCTACCTCGATTCAAACCTCAACTTGCGGTTGTATGTTGTAACGGTAGAGCTGCAGAAATGATTTATTCTTTTACTCCGTGACGATAGAAATCCATACAAACTGATAGGTGGCAAATGGAAAATAAAATGGAGGTCGCCTTCCAGGGTCCAAAGTTCGCAATTCCAACTAAATTAGAGTTTTCCAGTTGATTTTTACCCAATAAAGGAAAACCAAAAATACATTCTAAAATACAATAACAAGTAAGCGTTTGCAGGGAACAAAAAAAAATAGAGAAGACTTCTTTAAGAGAAAAATTAAATATTAGAGAAACTTACCACGCCAACTTCAATTACAAAATTCAGCAGTTGCGAAAAATCCGGAAAATCCGTTCAGCTTACTACTACCAATAGTACAATAAACTAGTCGCTGATTACATGTGAATAGGCATATAAAATCCGCTAATAGCGATGGTTAACTAACAAAACCCAAGTTTAGCCCAACACTGCAACGAACTGAATGACGAACAAAATGGCTCTAGAATCCGCGGGAAAAGTAGCTTAGATGGTAACAATATTAACGACACTGAGAAACCTGTAATTACTTAAGTTAAGAATATTACCCATTTACAAAATTAAGAATAATATTATATAATATTAAGAATATATTATATTCTTACATATGTATGGTTTACCAACTGGTAGAAAACTTCCAAAACATAATAAATAATTGTAATAATTGTTTTATAAATTTATTTTTATTCCCTAAAGAAATCTGCACTGAAGCGTAAGCAGCATTGTAACAATAGGCAAAAAAAAAACGTAAATAAGGTAAAGGTCGCTTTATTGTTTATCAATTAGTTATTAATCAATAATACAGATCTCACTACAGGTATTAAATAATAATTGTTTCTAAAGGATAATGTGTCAATTTTTAAATTGTAACAACCTAACCTACAACTTGTTGAATTTTCATAGTTTTATAGTTTTTATTCATACTTAAAAGTAACTTAGTTACTCAAAAGTATCTTAGTTACTTTCGGATAGTATTTTCAAAAAATAACTAGATACTTTTCAGAAGTAAATTTCACAGTTCTGGACAAATTTCTACTTTCTCACTTTTTATGGTATTCATTCGGTTTAATTTAGGAGTGCCGCAAGGTTCTAATTGTGGCCCCTTACTATTTCAATGTTTATTAGGGATTTTTCAAATAAAATCATTAGTCAAATTATCGCTGGCGAACGTAATTATCACTTCACGCATTCTCTTCGTAGATACCGATGACTGCGGCAACAATCCTTGCCGTAACAACGGCTCCTGCATTGACGGGGTGGCAGATTTCGAATGCGAGTGCAAGAACGGGTGGAAGGGTAAAAGTTGCTCGCTAAAAGACAGCCACTGCGACCACGCGACCTGCAAAAACGGGGGCACCTGCCAAGATTTGGGCAACACCTTCGTGTGCTCTTGCCCGTCCGAGTGGGAGGGCACCACTTGCCACCTGGCCAAGCAAACCAAGTGCAGGTCGAATCCCTGCTTGAACGGGGGCACTTGCGTGAACACTGGCGACTATTATCAGTGCATATGCAGGGACGGTTTCGAGGGGAACCATTGTCAAGACGACGTGAACGACTGCATCCCGCAACCTTGCTACAACGGCGGAAAGTGCATAGACGGCGTCAACTGGTTCTTGTGCGAATGCGCTCTGGGATTCACAGGACCCGACTGCAGAATAAACATCAACGACTGCGCTTCAAATCCCTGCGGCTATGGGGGAACCTGCATCGATGGTATCGGGGATTTTAGGTGCATTTGTCCGCCTGGGAGGAGCGGGAAAATTTGCAACAGTAAGTTTTCATTTAGATAGTTTATTACACCGGTTTATAGCCAAAATATACTTTCTGATGTATTTTGGCCTGCTAAACTCAAAAATTACAACATGGAAGGGTTTTCCAAATCATTTTTTTAGTTTAAAATGCATTTTTTTTTTGAGAATATTTTAACTATTTTATAAAATATAATATTTTAAAGTGTCGAAAAAAAACAGAAAAATTGTGGGAAAACCTGTTTTTCCGTTTTTTATCCAGGGCATGGAAAAATTCTTTTTTGGAAAAAACATTTTTTTCTGAAAATATACAAAGCAATTAACAACTTTACATTATTTTAATTATGAAATGGCCAATTGAATCGGTGATATCAAGAACAGTACAAGTCCAAAATTTAAATTGTTTACAGATTATTTTATAAAATCATTTTTTTAGTTTAAAATGCATTTTTTGAGAATATTTTAACTATTTTATAAAATATAATAATCATATTTTGTACAATAGTTGAAACATTCTCACAAAAATGCATTTTAAACTAAAAAAATAATTTTATAAAATAATCTGTAAACAATTTAAATTTTGGACTTGTACTGTTCTTGAACTCACTGATTCAATTTTATTGCAAATAGAGTTTTAAAGTGTCGAAAAAAAAAACCGGAAAAATTGGAGAAAAAATCTGTTTTTTTCCGTTTTTTTTTTCAGGCCTTGGGAAAATTGTCTTTTTTGGAAAAAACATTTTTTTCTAAAAATATACAAAGCAATCAACAATTTAACATTATTTTAATTATGAAATGGCCAATTGAATTGGTGAGATCAAGAACAGTACAAGTCCAAAATTTAAATTGTTTAAATAGTTATTTTATTATTTTTTGAGAATATTTTATTTTATAAAATATAATAACCATATTTTGTCCAATATGTTTCTCACAAAAATTTTAATTTTTGAACTCACCGATTTAATTGTAATTGAAAAAAACTGTTTTTTCCGTTTTTTCCCAGGCCTTGGAAAAATTGTCTTTTTTGGAAAAAAAAATTCTGAAAAAATACAAAGCAATCAACAACTTAACATAATTTTAATTAAAAAAATATCTTTAAGGATAATGAATTTATTACAAATAAATAAACTAAAACTAAACATTAAATTGAATTGAAATTACAAAATTATAATTTTATAAATCAATGTGTCAAATAAAATGTAGTTATGTTAATACTTTTCTTACTAAGAAATAATTTTGATAATTATGTATATATGATTATAATCAGAGTCGAAAATTCACTTTTTTCTTGATACCAGTCTACAGATATTTGGAAGTTTTCAGAAAAATTGACTTTTTCATTTTTTTCGTATTACCCTTTGAATAAAATGAAAAAAATGCAAAAGTAAATTTTTCTGAAAATTCAAAAAAAAAACGGTTTTTTCGCCGGCTCAATTTTTCCGAAAATTTTAAAACCCCTTATTACAAAAGATGTCAAATTAAAGCCAGTTGAAATGTCAAGAAATGTAACTTTATAAATGCCCAATAAGTCAATAAGTTTGAGTGCAATCCGCCCAAATATCAAAAAAGTCAATTTTTTGGATAAAACTTGAATATGGTATTTACAATTTTACCAAGAAGCAAAAATCATCTATCTACAGAATTTTGCACTTTTATGATAAAAATAAGGTATTAAAATAAAAAATCTATGAATAAATGTCAAAGTGTGCTGGATCCAACGCTGCGGATCCGAAAATGATTAACTTTCCAAATAATGGCGCAAAAGTCTACGTTGACAGCGTCCTTACCGTTCTGTCAAGCTTGCGGCACGTGCTACACCCCTTTCCACACCGCACTTTTCGCTCTCGATTGATAAAGTTTCATTCTAAATAAGTCTTCTTGGCACCGCTGTGGCCTGGGTTGTTTGTTGTGAGAATTGTGAGTAATAAGACTGAATTTTAATTTTAATCTATTTATAAACATTACATTACAGTAGTTACATTGGGAGCAAAAAAAACACAAAACTTGTAATAATAATTATTATAAAAAATAAGATAATTATCTTATAATCTTTACATTAATTTTGTTCAAGCTTCTAAATTAAAAATCAGTTTAATGTTCTACCAATATTTAATTGTCCAGTAAATATAATTCATATTATGAGGTTTAAAAGAGGATAAATGTACCAAAAATAGTGCAATATTTTTTCCATAAAAGTTTTTCAGTCCTGTAAAAATAATATTTATTTTTTATTTATTTATTTAGGTTTACATATTACTAATTAGTAATATACTATAATTTACTATACGATAGCTAATAAGTTTTTAACTAATTTATTAAAAAAAAACCTATTTATATTTAAAAATTAACAAAACATGAAAATTGGTAAAAATTAATGTTTTATATTAAAAAAATATTAATGAAAAATTTTAGTTATCAATATCAATAAATTAGGTTTAGTGATTTAATTGGTGTCGAATTAAAATTTGATTTCATTTATTTTTGATTTTCTATAAATTAGTACATATGAGGTCTGTCAGAGCAAAGTCAACAATCTCCCGTCAGACTAAAACTGAGTAAATTGAGATAATTGATTTTGGTATTTTATATTTTAGATTTGTAATTTAGTAATAAACTACAAGGTCTCCACGATGCATAGTATAGGTGAAATCTATAATTATAAATTGGAGATTGCTGACTTTGATATGAATCGCTGGAGATTGCTCATTTTGTTGTAAACGTTTCAGGAGATTTAGAAAAATAAACAAAAACATAATTGATTTTTATTCCTTTAATGGTTATAAAATTTAATTATACAATCAATGTGGGAAAATTCTGAACTGGACCACATAAATCTGGAGTTTCTTCTAAATCTGGGACCAGTTCACGGTGGATTTTTAGGGTCAATTTTCGGATCATCAGGCAACCACGTTTTTTTTTTCATAAATCGATTATATGCCTGTTATAGACAAAAAATACCAAAAATAAAAAAAATCTCTCGGTTTTTTTGTTTTTTATTAAGAAAAATATAATATAAATGGGTCTAATTTTACTTTTTTGGTTATTTTGCAAAAAGTATCAATTTTATCAAAATTCTGTTTTAACAAAGATATAGAATAATAAATTTTCTACAAAAAAGGTTATTACCATATTTGCTTTCCTGTAATTTTTAAACGTATTTTTTGTAAACAAATGTTTTGCTTAATTTTTTTTATTTTACTTGGGAAAAAAATTTGATTTTTCGGCCTTTCTGTAGATAAGTTTTTAAAAATTGATATCTTTTTCGATTGTAATACTTTATGACTCAGAAAAAATCGATAAAAAAAGCATAGAATTTAAAAAAAAATTAGTAGAAAGAAATAAAAAATCTACTTTTTAAACAATTTCATGCGATATTTAATTTTTAATCATAGTTACCCAAGCAAAATGTAAACGTCAAATAAAAACAAAATTAAAATGTCAGTTTGGTAGTGCTTTTAAACATGAAGTTTTCTAAATTAAATTATTTAGATTCCGACTTTAAAAGTCATAAAGATAATAGAAAGTTGTTGTGTTTAGTTTGTTTTGGAAAAAAGAAAAAATTATTAGAAATACCGAAAACTGTGAAGAAGATAATTAAAGACAGTTTAATAAAAAACTATGATGAACAAAATAACTCTTACCCGTGCTCAATATATGTCCATTATGTGTAAGAAACATTTACAAACAAAGTAAGGATGAAGAAAATAAAGAATTAAATATTAAGGTTTTTAATTATGAGAAGAACATAAAGAACAAATAAATGTACCATGTAAATACTATTTGTATATTTGTGCTACGAAGCAGAGAGTCGAGCATGTAAAACAAAAACAAAATTTGAAGCAGTATAAATTAGGACAAATGCAAATTGTTATTTAGTTTTTTTCGATTATCTCAAAACTTTATTTTTGGCACTTAGGCCCTTTCCAATTTCAACTCTACAATAAAAAAAATATAAAAATTACTTTATAGTGTAGAAACTTTATCCACTTTTATCTGTCAATGTAATTCCAATTACAAGAACGGTTCTTGAAGAACCAGCAAATGCGATTTTTAAAAAATTTATAACTTTGTACGGATATTACTCCTAAAGTATATATATTACAAAGAAAATGCTTATAACCTTTTTTGTAGAAAATTTAATATTCTATATCTCTGTTAAAACAGAATTTTGATAAAATTGATACTTTTTGCAAAATAACCAAAAAAGTAAAATTAGACCCATTTATATTATATTTTTCTTAATAAAAAACAAAAAAACCGAGAGATTTTTTTTATTTTTGGTATTTTTTGTCTATAACAGGCATATAATCGATTTATGAAAAAAAAACGTGGTTGCCTGATGATCCGAAAATTGACCCTAAAAATCCATCGTGAGTTTGCCTCGAGCAAAAAATTTTTTATAGTAGGTACAACAACTCATCATCTTCTTTCCACTTTTCCCCGTAATGTTTTACTTGCAATGTTTTGACATTATCAGCCTTTTCTTGCTTTACCTTTACGTCTTATTATGGTATAATAGCACAAAATAATAGGGATAGAACGATACCGATATTGATATCGGTATATCGGCATATCGGCAATTGTTTCCGATTATCGGTATCGTATCGTATCGGCAAGATAATTGCCGATATATCGGCAAAAAAAATTGCGCTTTTCACTCTTCAGTGCATAAATGAAATACTGTCGTAGGGAAATGTGTATAGTTTTTAAGAAATACATTTTCGCCATTAACTGGAATTTAAACAATAATTAGTTTTTATTTGCAGAAATGCATTAAAACAAAACAAACGAATTCGATAAAAATAAAACCTATAAATTCTCAATCCCTACCACAGTGGGCGGGGTTTAGCTCTTGTTTTATTTAAGTGTATCTATTCGTTTTAATACACACTGTATAAGGGGCTTCCCAGAAATCCGAAATGTCACTCACTACCAATCACAAACGTTTCCTCGCAACGGAATTAAAACGGGACTTCCCCGATTTTTGCTTCGGTCGTGTATAAATAGATGGCATTATGTTTGCCGATACGATATATCGGTATATCGGCACGTAAATATCGGTATCGGCCGATATATCGTATCGGCAAAAAAAAGTGATATCGTTCTATCCCTACAAAATAAACAAGATAACTTTTTTTATAATTCTTAAAACAATAAAACGTATATACACCTATTTTAAATATATTTAATAATTTACTGCAATAGAACTTAACAGTATGTACCAGTAAAAAAACACAAAATTAAATCTCTAAAATACGGTATAACATCAAATGTTAGGATATCAGGTGACACAAATTACTAATTTCTAATGGTGGAATTGGAGATTGTATACTTTGCTGCAAATCTATCAGAAGAGATTGTCGACTTTGCACTAAATGTCATTTTTTAAATAGGATTTAAGGCAGGATTTAGCTCCTTTTGCAGCACATAAACTTTATCATCTTATAGATAATTAGTTAAAGTATACTATAGTCTCCGCCAAAAATCTAATTTTTGACCAAAAGTGGAGATTGTCGGTTTTGCTATGACAGGCCTCATATTTTAGGTTTTTTTTATGAATAAAAATAATAATAAAAGTTTTAAGTTTTAAAATTGCTGGATCTGCGCTGGATTAATGTTGATCCAGAAAAAGATAGTAGCATCGAATGTACATTTTTTTTTATTTTAATTTGTAAAAATAATTCATTTTTCCCTAGTGGACGATCTTTCTTACCTGCCATCACCCGGAAGTTGCACATGGAGAGGGCACATGTTGGAAAACAACGTGACCTGGCAACACGAGTGCAACACGTGCATGTGTTACAACGGGATCGTGAAGTGCACGAAAATTTGGTGCGGACTCGGCAACTGCCGCACCTCGAACCAACAGATGTGCAGCGCGAACCAGGTCTGCGTGCCGTCTCCGTCGGAGTCCTGCCTGTCGCCTCCCTGCTTTCCCTACGGCGAGTGCAGGGATCTGGAGAGCGGGAGGCGCGTGAAACCGCCGACGGTTCCGAGTCCGAGCACCTGCTGGCCCAATCAGGCCGTTCTGAGCAACACGTGCGCCCGACTGACGCTCCTGCTGGACAGGGCGAAGCTGCCCGAAGGAGTGACGGTGGAGGGTCTGTGCGGCGACTTGAGGAGGCTTCTGGCCAACCAGCAGGCCAGCGACGGGCTGCAGGACGAGCTGTTCCTGCTGTGCGATCTCAAGGCCGACTACAACGATACCGTGGAAGTTACTCTGGTAAGTGCATCGTCAATATTCTTGAGTTCGTTTTGGCTTTCGTGGGTTTTAAGTAGGGTTGGGACAGTTGAAATTTTCAAATAAAAATTTCAACTTTGGAAGTTTCAAACTTGAAATTGAAATTTTTAAAAAATTCAACTGAAATTTTCATTTCGAAAACTTCAACATTGCTTGTGAAAATTTCGCATAAATTTCACATGCGGCCTATAGGTAAGTAATTATTGTTACTTATATGCATAAATTAATTTAAATAATTGAATTCAGTTACCAATTTAATTTGTAAATGAAATCAGACTTTAAATTTTTTTTTAAAAGTCATGACTTATTTAAACTTTGACTTTTGCTATAATTGTATCGGAAAACGGATAAAAAATGCCTTTGGCTCATAAAATTTTGATGAAGTTTCTTCAATTTTTGTAAAATTTCAGTAAAATATATAAAAATAATAAAAATATATTAATATAAAATAATGAAAGTGGCACAATCTCATTAGCTTACCAAAAAGTGCTATATCTCTCTTAGTTTTAGTAATTTAAAATAGTATATTATGTATCAAGTTTTATAAACGCCATTTTAGATACGAGTTTAATTAAGCACGAGCGAAGCTTGCGAGCGAGTGTTTAATAAAAACGAGTGTCTAGAGAAGTTTATAAACGAGTTGCATACTATACTTTATCTACGACGAACACAAAACAGAATTTAAAGCCAATTTTATTTGTTAAAATTTTGACATCTGTCAACTGTCACCCGAATTTAACCTCACTTTTTCCCAATTTATAATAAAGCTAACTTCAGCCCGTGACGTAAAATGTCGAAAAGCCACTGTTACTATTTATATTATTGGTGCAGGGGCCCACAGAGGGGTAGGAGGTAAGAGAGGCAATTTGCCATGGTCATCGAGAGGGCTTATTTCAATATTAATATATTACACTTAAATGATTGAAATTTATTGAAAGTTTCAATAAATTTCATGAAATTTCAGACATTTAGGAAATTTTAATAAACTTCATAAATGTCGTGAAAATTTCAAGTGAAATTTCAAGTACAAGCAAAAAGTGAAATTTTCCCAACCCTAGTTTTAATTTAAATTTAGATTGTTGGACTCTTATTGTCCTTATTTTTATCAATCCCAAGTAGCATTTTTAGTGGATGAAACGGTTCTCTTAAGTGGAAGTGACTAAAATGGGAAACAGTATTTTAGTGTCAGTTACATTCCAACAACGTTTATACCACGTTGTGATAACGTTACTATAACGTGAATTTATAGTGGCCAAAACTTAAGCAAAACTTTACTCGTTCTTTACTTTCTATCCTCGTCTCTTTTCTGCATATTATTTATCTTATTACATTTGCTTTCTCTGAAACTGAACATTAAACTAATACTGAATACTAAAATTATTATAATACGCCCGCCCCGTTTACTTAAACAAAATTCTCATAAAAGTTTTTTTTTTCGAGCGTTTTTTTTATTTTTAAATAAAAGGGCTTTAAGGATTTTTTTCGAAACGCTTGAACAAGTAAACTTAAATATAAGTATTTTTATCCAAAATTTTATAAAGATTGGTAAAGGCGTTTTAGAGTTAGAATTTTTTTACTTATTATGCGTTAATTTTGACGCGCAGTGTATGTACATTAACGTGAAATGTAATACTAAAACATTCATAAATTTACAAGGCAATGTGTTTTAAAAATGAACTGTAAAACCTGTAAACCTAGATAAAACATAAAATTTCTATTATAAAAAATGTTTATTAATAAATGAAATCATAAATAAATAAAAAAATCCTTAGAGCAAATAAAAATATTTAAAATTAAAATATATATTTACAAATAAGTTTCCTTGATTTTTTTGGTAGATTGTCCTCTCTAACAAAGAAAACCAGGTTTTCTTTGCCATAATTAATTTCTTTTATTCGCAATTGCACCAATTTTGACCTTTCTACTAAATTTTTAGGTCAAATTTTGTCTGTAATATGAGTTCTAAAATTTGTAAAATTCAAAATGTAGGTAGGTACTATGTTCCACACCTCAAAGTCCCACCACGTGACAACGTACGGAACGCAGTCTTTTGAAAATTTGGCATTTAAGGCTTTTTAGGTTATGTATCTGTCAAAGTATAGTCAATGAAAGAAATAATATTACAATAACAATGGATGGTTTAAGAATTTAAGAATATAAATACTGCATTTAATGAAATTCTAAATTGTATGGTGCCAAATAAGTAATATTTTTGTGCATTTGGTCCAAATACCTATCTGGTTTTCTCCATAAAATAATTTTAACTAAACAGCATTTATTAAAAAAAATCTAGCTTCTCTATTATGGAATAAGAATATCTGTTTAAAAGGTGTGTTAATATATTATAACAAAAATATCATCTAATTTTGTAATTTTAAGGTTAGAAAAATTTATTTTGACCAAAATAAATAAGTATTTTAGATTATTTAAAATATATATGTATAATATGGTAAGTAAAAATGTGGTAGTTTTTCTTATCCAGCTTAAAGTGTACCTACATAAAGTTTTGTCAATACAATAGTTAAAAGCTTCGACTGAATTTGATCTACATCAAAAAATCATTATAACTTAAAAAAATTTAACAAATCACATGTCATGGGTGTATTAAATATTTTCACATTGCAAGTTTCTCTAAAAATTGTTTGTTTTCTTATAATCTAACTTAAAGTAGGTATGCCGAGAGGTATGCACAAGTTTTGTCATTAGAAGTATAAAAGCTTCAATTTAATTTGAACCATATTCAACAATTATTTAGTATACCTATATTTATTTATGACCATATTAACACACTCTTCCAAATAATCCACTTATTTATTTTTGTCAAAATAAATTTTTCTAACCTTAAAATACAAAATTAGATGATATTCTTTGTTCTAATACATTAACCTACCTCTGATACAGATATTCTTATTTCATAATAGAGAAGTTTTTTTAATAAATGCTGTTTAGTTAAAACTATTTTAAGGAGAAATGTAGACCCAATGCACAAAAATATCACTTATATTGCACCTTACACTTTGGAATTTCATTAAATGCAGTTTTTATATTCCTAAATTCTTAAGCCAACCATTGTTATTGTGATACTATAAAGATTTATTAACTTTTAACGCTTAAACATAAGCGGTAACACTATAAATATTATTTCTTTTATTGACTATACTTTGACAGATACATAACCTGAAAAGCCTTAAATGCCAAATTTTTAAAAGACTGCGTTCCGTACGTGGTACGTAGTGGGACTTTGAGGTGTGGAGCATAGTACCTATTTACTATTATCTTTTCTTTGTATAAAATACCTACAACTAAAACTATAGGCGTTAACCAAAGGATAATTAAAAGTTTTATATACAGAAAAAAATTGGCACTTCAATCATTTTGTAGAGTCCTATTAACAATACTGAAAATTGCCATATACGGATCTATTATGGTAAAATATACAAATATTAAACCATGAAACTATGTAATGGGCCATCACATAATTAGACTTATGTGTTTGCTGGGATGCTAATATAATATGGAGGTATTTCAACTGTATCGTGGTAGATTTAGTTATTTTAACGTAATTGCCACTCATTTAAAGTTGCGATATCAGTTTTCGTCACTATAATGCTACTTGGGATCAATTTTAGCCATTGATTAGTTATGCATGTCTTCATGGAAATACTTTTGTTTCAGTACGGAAGCAACTGGGTTTTGGACGGAATTCGCGTCGTGGGCGAAGCCATATCGCGAAAACAAACCTCGCTGCTGGCTTTAACCTCCATCGTGGAGGTCAAAGTGGAAACGGCGTTGGTGTCGGAAGAGCAACAAAGCAACAAGTACTTCATAGCGTTGATATGCTTCATAATAATCGGGTTATTCGCGGCGGGCTTCATCGGTCTGCTGTACTTGCGTCAGCGCAGAAGAAACCTGGGTTTGAGCGGTATAAACCTAAGCCCGTCAGCTGATTCTTGTCATAGAAACCACGAGGACGAGAAGTCGAATAATTTGCAGAATGAGGAGAATTTGAGGAGGTACACGAATCCTTTAAAGGACGATGTTGGGAGTATGGCGAGCATAAATTCAGCTGGGGCTTGCGGATTGGATTTGCCCAAGGTCAGCGTGGTGCGTCCGCTGTCGATGATTCCGCACGACGCCTCCAGCGAGATGCTGGAGATGATATCGGAGGTGGAGTGTCCGGGCGGAAGGAAAACGATGCTCGTGCTGCCGGGCACGAGCTCTGACGCTAGTGGGGGGAAGCTGGGCGACTTGAAGCTGGGCGACGGGCTCGGCTCGGCGCACCGCAGCAGCCAGATCATGCTGTACAAGGCGCAGAACCCGGACGTGCGGAAGAATACGGCCGCGTTCGACGACATGTCGGCGCACAAAGACTTTAGCAAAAGTATTATTAACGTTAACAAGCAAAGGACTCAGCAGAACGCTAGCGGAAGTGTCGACGTGCTAACGGTGCTTGTGTAAGTGGAAGGGCCAGTGTAATGTTAACTGAACGTTGCGTCGTAACGAGTTTTAGGGTTTTTTGATTTTTTCCGCAATTAAAAAACTCTTCTCCAAATTTGGTCGAAAAATTTAAAAAGAAACTTAAGTTGTAACGAGTTTTACGTAAAAGAAATGTTAACGTTTTAGGATTTTTTGCGGTTACTACAATTTTAGAAATAAAAAAAATCGAGGGTTAAGGGTCGAACTACCGTTCCAAAGCAAATTTTCTCCAAATTTGGTCGAAAAATTAAAAAAAACGTTTAACGTTTTAGGATTTTAGCAATTAAAAAAAATCTCGAAAAGTTTTAGGATTTTTTTGATTTTTTTGTGTTCCTAGAATTTAAGTAATTATAAAAAATCGAAAAATAAAATCTCCAAATTTTGTCGAAAAATTTGAACAAAAAAATCCTAAAGTTTTAACGAGTTTTACGTAAAAGGGATGTTATCGTTTTAGGATTTTTTTGATTTTTTTTCGGTTATTAGAATTTTAGCATTTAAAAAAAATCAAGGGTTAAGTGTCGAGCTACCGTTCTAAAGCAAATTTTTTCCAAATTTGGTCGAAAAATTAAAAAAAAAACGTTTTAGGATTTTAGCAATTAAAAAAAATCTCGAAAAGTTTTACGATTTTTTTGATTTTTTGCCGCTCCCCAGATTTTAGCAAATAAAAAAATCGAAAAAACCGTTCCAAAGCAACTTTTCTCCAAATTTGGTCAAAAATTAAAAAAACAAAGTTGTAACGAGTTTTACGTAAAAGGGATTTTTTTTCTGTTACTAGATTTTAGCAATTAAAAAAAAATCGAAAAAAATCTCGAAAAGTTTTAAAGGGTTCCAAAGCACCTTTTCTCCAAATTTTGTCGAAAAATTTCAAAAAAAAATCCTAAAGTTTTAACGAGTTTTACGTAAAAAAAATTCCAATTCCAAAGCAAATTTTCTCCAAATTTGGTCGAAAAATTAAAAAAAAAAAGTTTAACGTTTTAAGATTTTAGCAATTAAAAAAAAACTCGAAAAGTTTTAGGATTTTTTTGTGTTCCTACAATTCAAGCAATAATAAAAAATCAAAAAATAAAATCTTGAAAAAATTTTAAAGGTTTCCAAAGCAACTTTTCACCAAATTTGGTCGAAATTTTTTAAAAAAACTAAGTTTTAACGAGTTTTACGTAAAAGAAGGGATGGTAACGATTTAGAATTTTTTAAATTTTTTTCGTTCCTAGAATCTTAACAATTAAAAAAAATTGAAAAAAATCTCGAAAAGTTTTTAAAGGGTTGTGTTTTCCGTTTCTAAAATGTTCGCAATTAACAAAAATCGAAAAAAAAAAGAATGTTAACGTTTTAGGATTTTTTTCCGTTTCTAGAATTTTAGTAATAAAAAAAAGTTTTTAACTACCGTTCCAAAGCAACTTTTCTCCAAATTTGGTCAAAAAATTGAAAAAAAAATTGTAACAAGATTTACAAATTTAGGATTTTTTTAATTTTTTTTCGTTCCCAGAATTTTAGCAATTTAAAAAATCTCAAAAAATGTTAAAGGGTTAACGGTCGAACTACTGTTCCAAAGCAAATTTTCTCCAAATTTGGTCGAAAGATTTCAAAAAAAAAACTAAATAATCCCTTATACAGGGTGTCACCAAATAAGTTGTTAAGGGAATGATGATAGAGGAAAAACTTTCTTGTTTTGGCATGTACTATCATCCCCCCAAAAGGATGACCTGTATACAATTTTTAACTCTTGAAAAAAAAAACACGAAAACGCTGAGACAAAACCTTATTTTCGGTTGTGGAATTTAGTGGTGTATTTCGTTTTTCGAGATTAGCTCGTTTTTTAAGGTATTTCATATTCAAGTTTGGGTACTTTTTGGTCCACATTTGCTATATTTTGCTTATTTTTGAAGAAAAAGACACCAAAATCTTTGAATTGTCTTCATTTCTTTTTTTTTAATTCATCATACTTATTTTTCGAATTTTTTAAATAACACAAATCATTCCTCATAAAAACTTCTGCTTGTTTAAAAAATTAGTTTCCATAACAATTTTTGGAAAACCTACCTTAAAAACATTTTGTGTCCTAGTGATTTTGGTTTTGTTTCTAAAAATTTTGTATAAAGTATTAAATACTTTTCTCATAAAGCAATTTTATGTTTTCTTAATTTTTAAAATGAAACCGGATATCTTATGACGAAGGGTTTTAAAATTTCCGGAAAAACTGAGCCGGCGGGAAAAAAAAAAGAAAAATTGGGGACTTTTGCTTTTTTTTCATTTTATTCAAAGGGTAATAGGAACAAAATGCAAAATTCAAATTTTTCTGAAAATGGATGATATCCGTACGCTGATATCGAGAAAAAAAGTGAATTTCCAACGCTCATTATAATCATAATATTGATTATAATAACTATTCCTTTTATTTTAATTCAGTAAGCAAAAAAACATATTTGGTGCTGTATTCACATACAAACTTTCGTTTTATTTGACACTTCGATTCATAAAATTATAATTTTGTAATTTAACTAATTTTTCCAAAAAAAAAAACAATTCTTTTAAGACCTGGTAAAAAGACGGAAACAACATATTTTTTACCCAACTTTTCCGGTTTTTTTTTCGACACTTTATAACCCTAGTCATAAGAATGATTGGTATGTAAACTGTACAAAAACAAATATACTTTTTTTCAAAGAAATAAAATTAAATGTTAAATTAAAAAAATATTTTGAATTTGGACCAATCAACGATTTTCTTTTATAAAACTCTTATAAACCATTTTTATGTTTTTAACTACAGTAAGCAGTTTTTATGGGAAATAATTTTTTTTGTAAAACTATTAGTTCAGTACGAGCTTACGTAAAAAAACGAAAATTAAGTTTACGTGTCCTGGCGTTTTTGTGTCTTGCAATTGGTAATACAAAACAATTTGACCAACAAAATTTCGAATAAATTGATAAACTTTGGAAAGACTCGTTGCGATAATACATAATTATTTATATTCTTGGGCCCTCTAAAAAAAATTACTTGACAGCAGTATAATTATTTTTTGTTTTGTGCAATTTAGTTGTTAGGAGATTACTAGATTTTTTTTATATTCCACACTGCAGTCGATGAAATTTGCTTTTTGTTAGCGCGTTGCGGCCCTCGAAGAAGACTTCCGATTACTTGAATAAACAATAATAATAAAAGTGATATCTGGAGATTGATCTCGTGATTAAAAACACCTGGTGACACAAGATAATAAAGTGTTAATTTAATAGTGTGATATTATTTAATATTTTGATTTGTTTTCTTTTATACATTTAACTTGTTAGAATTTTTAAAATTATTTTTATTTAAATTTAATTTCTGTAGGTCAGATGAAATGTGTACATATTTTGTTTTTTTGTATTTATTGTATTATTGTTCCTGATTTTTTATTGCATTTAGTTTAAATATATTTTAGTAATCGTGACGCATCTCTCGCATATTTCTAAAAGTATATTATTAGTGTTTTAATTTATTGATAGATATCTTTTCCATTTACGTAGAATGTTTTATAAATATGTGATTGATGCTTTTGGAAATATTTAACTTTTAATGAAGAGCATATTGTTGTAAATATGTATATAGTTTTGGAGTATTGTACACTTAAATTTAACTAACGCATTTTTAAAAGTTTATAGTATAGTAAATACTCATTCCTAAATATTGTAAATAAACTTTTAAAAATAGACACGGTTTAATATACAGTACTTATACATATATTTAAAAATAGTGCCTTGTACTGATTCCATGTTGTGGGACAGATGTAAAATAATATCCAAATCAATTATTGTAAACATCACATTCTGCACAGTTTAGAAGATTTATAACTTAAAAAGTATTAAATAGAATAAGAGTGTATGTATATTTTGTATAAATATTTTGCATTTTTTTGAAGGATGCAAGCAGCTTTTGTAATTAATTAAAATTATTTAGAGCTTGTCAATTTTAAGATGAAATAAATGATTAAAATTAATGGGTAATGTTTTATTATATAAAAAATTATTACACAAAATTAAAGCTATATTCCACTACAAAAAGGAAGCTAATTAATTCATTTTATAGAGAAATACATTTCAGAATGTACTTTGGTATGGCAATAGAAGTAAACTTCAATGACATAGTGCTCACTATTATCTGCAACAAAAGATTAAGTTGGTGTAAACAAAAAAATACTAATAATTTATTTATGAAAAAGGGCAATTCCATTATTATTATCATTTAGACGCATTTAAAATTCATATAAAACCCAACCCACTGAATCTTTTTGGGTTTTATAGGTAGGTTTTATTTTTTTTTAATTCTATACAGGTTTTAGTAAAAAAACAAAATTTAAAAAAGAAATTCTGTAAATAAGAAAAATTAATTTTTACAGTAAAACAAAACTATAAAATTACATTAAAGCAGTTTTAGTTTGACCAGCGCTTTATACTGATGATATTTTAAGGTTTAGCTAACGACTTAACAAGTGTACTTTTAATTACATTTACGTAAAAAAAATTATATTTATATAAAAATGTATTTTATTATGTTTTCTTTTTTACAAAATTACAAAAATATAAAATGTATAGTTTAAGAAAACAGAAATAAAAAAGCGCTTTTAAAATACCCTGCAGGTTTTTTTTAGGTATAAAAAAAACCCACTGGGGTTTTTGGGTTACCCATCCCTGGAAATCCGGAATTTTAAAAACTATTTTTTTTTTAAATTTTAAGTAATTTGGAAATTTTGATTATTTTCTCCCACTTATTTAAAAATAATGTAAATGTAAAAAAAAATTAAATTTTGAAAATTTCCTCAAAATTGTGAAATCTTTAAAAAATTTGAATATTTTGGAGGTTTTAAAAAATTTTCAATTTTGAAAGTGTTATAAATTTTTTTTAAATTCGCTGAATTTTGAAAACTAAAAAAAACTAAACATTTGACAATTTTAAATTTTGACAATTTTCAAAATTTTTAATATTTTTATAATTCTCACACTTATTTATTAAAAACTATGTGAATTTTGAAAATGCTATAAATTTTATAAAAACTTAAATTTTTAAAAATTTTGATGTTATTTTAGTGTTAAGCTAACGGTTTAACGCTTTTAATTAGATTAATAAATAAAAATGTTTTGTATTGTTTTCTTTTTTCCAATATAATTTAAGAAAGAAGAAATTTTAGTGGGGTTTACCCAAAAAAATCTACTGGCATTTTTTAGGTAACCCACTAGTGGGCAGACATATTTTGGAAATTTTTATAATTTGCAGAATTTTGTTTTGAAAATTCTCCCACTCATTTAAAAATTATGTTAATTTTAAAAATGTTATAAGTTTTTATAATTTTGAAAATTACTAAAAATTTTGAATGAAAAAGTGTTATAAATTTTAAAATAAAAAGAATTTTTTTTTAAATTTCGCTGAATTTTGAAAACTAAAAAAAAACTAAACATTTTACAATTTTAAATTTTGACAATTTCCAAAATTTTTAATATTTTTATCTACGCCAGTGAGATAAGAACTTCTTATCCCACTCATTTTGAGTGAGATAAGAAGTTCATTAAAGCAAGCGTTTTTCTCTGCTTTTAACCAATCAAATAAAAAAGTCAAAATGTCAAAATAACCCTAAATTAAGTCTTAGACAAAATTAATTACCGTTTATTTTTTCATTTAGAGCCGTAGATAAAAATTTGTACAATATACGTGTGATAACGCTTTATTAACGTACTTTTGCGAATTTCGCATGCGTAGGTTAATAAAGCTCTTATCCCACTTATATCGTAAATAACTATTATAATTCTCACACTAATTTAAAAACTATGTGAATTTTGAAAATGTTATAAATTTTATAAAAACTTAAATTTTTAAAAATTTTGATGTTATTTTAGTGTTAAGCTAACGGTTTAACGCTTTTAATTAGATTAATAAATAAAAATGTTTTGTATTGTTTTCTTTTTTCCAATATAATTTAAGAAAGAAGAAATTTTAGTGGGGTTTACCCAAAAAAATCTACTGGCATTTTTTAGGTAACCCACTAGTGGGCAGACATATTTTGGAAATTTTTATAATTTGCAGAATTTTGTTTTGAAAATTCTCCCACTCATTTAAAAATTATGTTAATTTTAAAAATGTTATAAGTTTTTATAATTTTGAAAATTACTAAAAATTTTGAATGAAAATTCTACAGAACTTTCTAAATGTTTTAAATTCTGTAATTTTTTTTTTAAATTTTTGGAAACTAAAATTTTAAAAAAATTTAAATATTTTAGGAATTTTTATAATTAAAAAATTCTCCGTCATTTGAAAATTATGGGAGTTTTAAAAATGTCATAAATTTAAAAAAACATTTAAATCTTTAAAAATTACAGAATTTTAAAAACCAATCATTATACAATTTTGAATATTTTGGAAATTTTCTAGAATTTTCAAAATTCTCCCACTCATTTGGAAGTTTTGGGAATTTTTAAAATGTTAAAAATTTTGAAAATTTTAAAAATTTTGTATATTCTGCAGAATAAAGAACTAAATTTTTAATAATTTGTTGAATATTTGGAAATTTTTATAATTTTTATTTTATACAAAATTCTCGCACTCATTTTAAAATTACGGGAATTTTGAAAATTAATTTGGGAAACAATTTTTTGTAATTTTAATTTTTTTTTAATTTTCAAAACTTTCAATGTCTACAAAATTCTCCCACTTATCTGAAAATTATTTTAATTTTAAAAAAATGTTTAAAAAATCTTTAAAATTTAAAATATTTTTTAAAATATCGAATTTCTTAGACACTGTTAAATTTTCGTTACATGTGCGCGCGTAACTCCGTAAAAAAAACACAAACATACATACCTGGTATTTAATAACTTCCATTGATAGAATTACACCACCAGGGCCCTTAATGCTACCAATGTACTGGTTATCTTTCAAGTTATATGTGTATATAAACCCGTTGAGGCAGCTTGCAAACAATAAATTTTCAAAAATTTTCATGCCCCCTATCCCCTTTGAGTTTGGGGCGTTGTAGACGTCCTTCAAGGATCCATCCTATGATAAAATTATTTTTTATTATTTTTAACACCATCTCCACCATTATTTTCAATATTTAATAAAATAACTTAGTCTATACAACGAAGATAGATTTTAAGAAGATAAAATAAATAAAAAACAACGATAATAAAAGTAGATAAGTGTTATAATAAAATGCACCTGTCACCTGCATATTCCACACACGGTGGTCAAAACTTAAGTATAGGACGAACCAAAATGCCAACCAAAACTGATAGCATATTTTGATTATAGACCCTTTTGGTAACACTAACATGTATTTATCAAAATCCCAGCTGATCCTATTTTAAAGTTTTGCAAACTTTTTTGTTTTTCTATTTCTATATATTATTTTGCAATTATTGTACTAAAACTACCTGTACAATTTTAATAAAATTAAGCAAAATAATAAACTTTGTATCATTTAAATTACTTTACTCCCCAGTATTAATTTATTGAGTCACCTATTATTTTTTACCACTCAAAACAAAACATAACAAAAAAAACGAAGATTTATATCTTAAATATTTTTTATAACAAAAAATACTGGAAGTTTGTCTATGAAATAATTACAACTTGCAAATTTTGTAAAACAATAATTAAGGTGGTTATGAAAAAAATTGCTATACGTTATAACGCAAGTGACATTTTGCTTTAGTTGTTTATTTAATGTATACTTTATAAAATTAAAAATAGTATTTTAAAATGAAAATTAAACCGAAATTCAAGTTAAGCCATGAAGAAAATCGAAAGAAGGTATTTGCTGGATGTGGAGACAAAATTGTTTTTGGTAATCGAAAAATTCAGAGTTTAGGGTTTCTGAGAAAATATAAAAACTACTGCAGACTTTTTCAAACGAACACTTTAACTTAAGTGATTCAAATTTACCTACTTCAATATGGTAAAAACGGTATTTTTGCATAACCACAATTGCCAAATTTTCAAAATTTAGAAATTGCCAGAGAATTTCGCGGCAGCCAAGAATGTATGTGCTTTATCTGCAAAATGACACGATATAAAGGGCATAAAAAATTATTAAGGGAAGAGGACGGACGAACGAACTAAAGTTTTGATATGCTCTTCCTTTCTAGGGGATATCGCTAGATGTAAGAAACATGTTTGTACAGAGACTATAAAATTTAAAAATACTGTTTCCATGTTAAAAACAATTCCATGTAAAACCCAAGAAAAAGTTTTACTGAAAATTTAAGGCAAGCAGTAATCGATTTTGCTTCAAAGAATCTTTAGTTATTTATTAGTTTTGCATTAGGTACCTTAAAACAATAAATAAGATATTGCAAACTGTATTTTACACTATTTTGTATTTATAATGTAATTTATCCATATTTCAGTCATGTATCTGCCAAATTTTAAAAACATTTGATAATGGTACTAGAGTGTTTTATCGAAATGGCATAAACAATTTTAAAATACAGTTTTGGTTGGCATTTTTGTTCGTCCTATACTTTAGTTTTGACCACCGTGCACAGGTCAGTTTACGATTTTGAGTGTAGATATTTTTTATTAGAGTTATCCACTGGTTCAAAATGGAACTTTAAAGCTAAAAGTTAGTAGATTCCGTAAAAATTAACACTTTAAGAAACAGTTAAGTTTGAGCTTGCTGATTGCAGTACAAAAAATAAAGCAACCATTTTTTACCGTAGCCGTAATTAAAAAACCGGAGCATAACCAAAAAATTTTTGGCAAAAATGTTTTACTCACGTTAAACGAGAACACCAAAACGTTGTGGGCCGTAGTGCCGCAATACACCAAGCTTCGCTCCAGCAAAAGCGAGTATACCGTCGGTGAAATATGGTCGGCCAATGTGCGCATGTGCAGTCCAGTTATGGCGTCCCTTATGCAAACCGGCGCATGCCTGGAGCCCACCAGCAAGATTCTACGAGCGCCCTCTTGCGTCGCCTTTAAAACCATCACGTTACTTTTGGAGATTTGGTCTGTGAACTCCACTTTCTCCTTCTAAAGATAAAAACACCGTAAAACAACGTAAATTTTTTTAATGGGGTAGTTCAATTTTTTCTGACCTACACTTTTTATGGTTTTATTCAAGGCGTTTTGTAATTTTAAACATTTCTACAAAAAAAATCTCCTAATTACGTCACTAGGCTATTGACAACGTTGCCAGCTTTTTCTATGGTTGCCAGTGTGTTTAGTTTAAGATTCTTACGATAGATGGCGCCACGTTATAATATTTTAGTTTTAAAACCACTTGATCTATAATTTTAGTTGAGAAGAATTGATTTTTTGACGTTTCTTTTTTTCGGGTTATGTTTTTTTTAAATTTAGATTATTGAAAATCAATGTTATTGTTATGTTATTTGTAATTGATATTAGATAAGTGATTTATTAATAACGGACTCCAAAGCAGAGGAATCTTGTGGAATGGTTGGTTACATTCAACATTGGAGCTTTTAAACAAATAAAGTAAGTACCTATAATTATAATCATATTTTGTCGTAAATGCATTTCATTAGTATAATGCCTAGTTCTTTATATTCCTTTAGATATATCTTGGACTCTAAAATATCAAACAGTAATATCAACCTCGTAATAAGGAAGATAGGTACTTAATGAATTTGGTGACCATATTTCACTCAACTGACAGTGACAGTATTTGTACATAACTTCTTCGGGTATTTTCTGACATAACCGAATGAAATCATTAGCAAGACAACTTGACAACAGGGTAATTTTCAACCAATAGAAATCTTAGAATGTTGGTCACGTGGCGAGGTTTGTGACGTCATAAAAATTTATATTTTTTGTAAATATCTCGAAAACGGTAAACTCAATTGAAATTCTGATTTCACAGAAACGTTTAATATTACAAAACGCCTTGAATTAAACCATAACTACCCCATTGTAGATGTTTTTACCTTCTCCGAGTATCTCATCAGAAACCCCCTTCGGCCGCCCATGAAAATGTACTCCCATCGGTACTCGATGCATTGCACACCGTCGTCGATGGGCTCACTTTTGATGAGCTGTTTTGTTTTAAAATCGTAGATTTTTAGTACCGAATCGAAAGTTCCGACGTAGAGGCGCGATTCTTGCTTGCTGTAGTCGAGACATGTCACAGGCATGTTCGACACTTCCAAAGTGTGTTTGAAGCTTCCATCTTCCAAGCTGCAGAAATGGATTTTCCCGCGTTCTGTAGTTATTACAAGGGAATCTTCAATTACCTAAATGAACAAATGATTTTCTAAAACGTTTTTTCCAATCACTTTCTGAAAAAACTAAACAAATTTTTATAATTTCCTGAATTTTCAATATTTATAAAATTGTCCAACTCATTGGAAAATTATGTGAATTTTGAAAATGTTATAAATTGAGGAGCATCCGTGCAAAACCGGCTAAATCCATTTTATTCAGTTTTTGTTTTTTTTTTTGATTTCGCATCTTTGGGTTCATTTCTATCGACAACCAAGATAATTCTGTTTAAATCCGACTACATCTATGTTAAAATCACATTTAAAAGGCAGCTTTAGGAGCAAAACCGGCCAAATCCACGTTTTTATAGCAAACCTGGCTATATCCAATAAATAATATGTGGCTTGGATATGTCGATACTACTACTAAAATTTGTTCTGTTTTTTCATGTTTGCACAAAATTTATTTTGTTAATATTTTTGAATAATAAATGTTTTTTTTTCACATTTTATTCGGTTTTCGAGCAAAACCGGCTATATCCAAAACATTTTTTGAAATTTTGGCCTTAATATAAAGTTTTTGAAAACGAGTAGAGAAGTATGTCTTATAAATCAAGTACTACAAAGCCCACAAAACTCAAGTTTGCTTTTTCTTTTATCTGTAAAGGCCAGGAAACCGAGAGTTTTTGCCATTTTCACAACGTTTTATTAAAGTGGATATAGCCGGTTTTGCACGGATGCTCCTCAATTATGGAAATGTTAATTTTTTTTATAATTTTGAAAATGTTACAAATTTAGGAAATTAAAAAAAAAACTAAAAATGTTGAAAGAAAATTCTACCGAATTTTTAAAATGTTATAAATTTTGGAAATTTAGAAATTTTTATAATTTTCAGAACTTTCAATATTTCTAAAAATTCTCCCACTCATTTTAAAGTTATTTAAATTTTGGAAATTTAAAAAAAATAATATTTTTTTATAATTTTATTATTTTGAAAATGTTAAAATTTATCAAATTAAAAAAAAACTAAAAATTGTGAAAAAAAATTCTACAAAATTTAAAAAGGATATAAATTTTGGAAACTTTGAAAAAAAGTTGTATGTATTTTGGAAATTTTTATAATTTTCAGAACTTTCAATATTTCTAAAATTCTCCCACTCATTTGAAAATTATGTGAATATTGGAAATGTTATAAATTTTGGATATTTAAAAAAAAATTTTTTTTATAATTTTATAATTTTAAAAATGTTATAAATTTGGGAAATTAAAAAAACTACAAATTTTTAAATAAAATTCTACAGAATTTTAAAAATGTTATAAATCTTAGGAATTTAAAAATTATGTAAATTTTGAAAATGTTATAGATTTTAAAAATTAAAAAAATTATTTTTTTTATAATTTTAAATTTAGGAAATTAATAAAAACTAAAAATTGTGAAAAAAAGTTCCACAGAATTTAAAAAAGGTTATAAATTTTGGAAACTGAAAAAAAGTTGTACGTATTTTGGAAATTTTTATAATTTTTAGAACTTTCAATATTTTTAAAATTCTCCCACTCATTTTAAAAATGTTATAAATTTGGGAAATTAAAAAAAACTACAAATTTTGAAATAAAATTCTACAGATTTTTAAAATGTTATAAATTTTGGAAATTTTAAAAGAAAATTCCACTGAGTTTTAAAAATGTTATAAATTTTGGAAATGTTGAAAAAAATGTTTGAAACTTTTGAAAACAAAAAATTTTACAATTTTGAAAATTTTGGTAATTTTTATAATTTTCAGAACCTTTAATATTTCTAAAATTCTCCCACTCATTTAAAAATTATGTGAATTTTGAAAATGCCATGAATTTTGGAAATTTAAAAAAAATATATTACATTTTTTTATAATTTTAAAAATGTTATGAATTAGGAAATTTAAAAAAAAAACTAAAAATTTTGAAAGAAAATACTACAGATTTTTAAAATGTTATAAATTTTGGAAATTTTGAAGACTAAAACTTTTACTACAATTTTGAATATTTTGGAAATTTTTAATTTTCATAACTTTTTCTAAAATCCTTTCACTCATTTGAAAATTATGTAAATTTTAAAAATTTTATAAATTTTTGAAATTTTGAAGAAAAAAATTTGAAAACTAAAAATTTTACAATTTGAATTTTGAATTCAAAAATCCAAATTTTTTTAAGTACATGAATAAAGTCCTCGTATATTGACATAGATATTAAGAGTTTAACCTCAATTTTTTATAAACAAGAGTAGTTTAAATTTTTTTGGCAAATTTCCGATTTTGTTTTAAATGAATAACTAAAAGGAAGATAAAATTTCCAAAAAGAAAATTCCAAAAAAAAACAATAAAATCTCAAAAGACAAAAAAATCATTTTGACTTACCTTGGTTACTAAAACTTTTTCGGTAACTTCTGGAAATTCCAACAATTTGAAATTAAAATTAATACTTGCAACTGCATTATTTTGTTGCACAATGTTATCAACTTTTTCAGGACTTTTGGGTTTATTTACTTCCTTTCTGATTTTCGATTGGTCATAATTATTTTTCGATCTTTCTCCTCTACTGGATCCAGCCTGTTCCCACCTGTGGCGCTTAAAATTTCTCTCCCTGTTATTATTGTAGTTACCGTCGTTGGATTTCCTCTTTTTTTCCACCCTTTTATCCTGAGATTCGGTTTTGAATTTGCTGAACAAACTCTTCCTGAAATTTGTTAAATTGTTTATGAGTTTGTCCACATCTTCCATTACATTGATGCAATCAGGAACAGTGTCGGGCAATTGCCCATTGTAATTTTTCAGGAACCTCCTTCTAATTTCGCTGAACAAATCCATAGCTACTGTCTGGGAATAACAATGGGCAGTAGGAACAACAGTTTGTGTACTGATGGTAGTTTTTTGTACTGGAGTTTCTTCTGTAATATTTTTTTCTAAATTTTTGCTCATTTCTTGCATAGTACTTTTAGGAATAGCACTTATTATACTAATGGTATTATTTTCCACCAAAAGTTCTTCTGAATTGTTACTAGTTTCTTCTACTGAGTTTGAAGAAATACTTTCTTTATTGTAAGAATCACATGACACTTGTTCAGGTTCAAAAAAATCTTCCAAAGTAAACTCTTTTTTTATTTCGTGTTTTTCTTGTTCTAAACAATCTTTATCTTCACTTTTAGCATCATTCTCAGTAATACTGTTTTCTGTTATGCTAATACTGTCCTTCATGGCTGGTATATTAAATTCAGTACTTTCTTCTTTATTTGTTTCAGTATTATTATCATTACTTTCATTATTTGTAATGTCATGTTGACTTTCCTCTTTCATTTTTTCTTCTTTTATAGGTGGAAAAGGTATTGGTTCTTTATTGGGTTTAAAAATATTAGCATTCATGTCATTATTTGTAATATCTTCTTCCATTATTTCTTGTTTTATAAGTGTTTCAATTTTATTTTTCTCAATATTACTGTCATTCATATTATCTATTTTTTCTTGTTCTATAGAAATTGTTTCTTCATCTACTACTACACTCTCTTGAGTGTTATTATGTAATACATTTTCATTATTATCATTAGTGTTTTCATTAATGTTAATAAATTCATGTTGAAAATGTGCCTTATTAAAAGATTTTGATAATAAATCTCCTACAGTATTATCTTCAGATTCTATGTCTTGGTGCATTTCATTTTCAATAATTTTATTATTATCAATAGGTTCATCTAAATCGACCGAATGATTATCAAAATCTGTAAAAAAAGCAAATACTCTTTTTATCCAATTTTTGGATTTGGAGTTAAAATAACTTTTTAAATGACATGTCAATCATAACAAAATATAATCAAAGTTGGTATTTATAGGAATTAAGATTACAAAAACTTGACGTTTAAAATAACATGTAACTACAACAGAATTCATTCAAATTTGAAAATCTGCTTTTGTCGTCAATAAGTTATGACGTCATATAGCAAACATTTTTCAACAAGAACTTTGAGACTTGAAGTAATGTTGCCGAATGAAAAATATTGATGCTGCAATAATAAATATGTTTAGTTTTAACCACAATTTGTAATTTTATATTTATAGGAACATTTGATTTTAACATAATTTATATTAATGATAATATAATATATTATATTTTAAATGTGACGTCAGGGTTTGATTTAAAAAAAATAAAAAATTAATGATTTTTATTAAAAAAATCAACAAAAAAGATTTCTTTGATTTTTCTTTTAAATTTTAAGCTTTTTTAAATAAGTAAGGGTACTATTAAAAAAATACTAATAATAACTTGACTACAGGGTTTAAAAATTTCCGGAAAAATTGAGCCGGCAGAAAAAAAACCGTTTTTTTCCGAAAAAAACGGAAAAATTGGGAAATTTTCAGAAAAATTAATACAAACATAATGCAAAAGTTAATTTTTCCGAAAATTTCCAAATTTTTACAAAGAAAGTGAATTTCCGACCCTGATTATAATCATAATATTATATGATTATAATTATTCCTTTTATTTTAATTCAGTAAGAATTTTCTACCGGGCCGCAAAAAAACATATTCGGTTTATAAAATTATAATTTTGTGATTTAACTTTATAAATCACACATTATTTTGTAATTGGATATTTTAAATGGATTAATTTTTGCTCAACCGACAGTAGGTATATTTAACGATTACGTTTATTTTTTTTTAAATCAATTTAATTAAATTAGTTTTATTTTTTTTTCTGTAATAAAGGATATTTTTTTAAATTAAAATAAGTTGTTAATTGCTACTTTTTTTAAATGTGTATATTTTCCAAAAAAAAATTTTTTTCCTAAAAAAAGACAATTTTCCAAGACCTGGGAAAAAACGAAAAAAAAATTTTTTTCCCCAGTTTTTTAGTTTTTTTTTCGACACTAAAACTCTACTTGACTATAATAATATTATATCGGCACTACTTTATAAACAAATAAACTACAGTCTGCAACTGTCATATAATTATTTGTATATTCCTTTATTTTATTTAACAAAATAAGCAGTTTTTTAATACCATTTTTGGAAAATAAAGAAAAGTTATTTTTATAAATAGGTCAATTAATAATTATTAATAAAAATTTATATAATATAATAATAAACACTTACTTTCTAAAATCTCTGTAGCATTTGAATCTTCATTGTCATAACATTCTTCGAAACTTATATCCAAAGTATTTCTAAGCTCTTCAATCAACTCCTTTGGCAACTCGTCAATTTTAATACCGATATCTGGAATGATGGAGTTTAACAGTTCGTCAGCTTCGTTGTTTGCTTCTGTACTTTCCTGAGCGCACATTCTCCTAAAAATCCTCGACAGTTCGAGTCTTTTCTTTTTTTGTATCTGTTGAATAACGATATCATAGGTGCTGCTTTTGGCGTTGATGAACATTTTCTTTCTGCCTTTGTTGAGGCCTGTGATGTGGTTGAGAATTTTGTCGTGTATTTCTTTGGCGTTATTTTTGCTTTTGTTTTTCGAGAAACTGTTTGCGTCAGACTTGTTTTCTACTTGTTTGTTGGAGTCGGTTTGTCTTGTTTTGTCTTGGTTTGGCTCTGGTTGCTTTTCTTTAAGCGGAATATTGGGGTTCATTAAATGCTTCATGATTTTTGAGCTGGTCTCTGCTATTTTGCGTTTTGTGTATTCTTCGCTACCAACTACTGGAGACGGTGGCCTTGATGGTGGTTTTTTGTGATGGAATTTGCGTTGCGGTAAAAGTCTGCCATTATAATACGATGTATTCCTATTCCGATAATTTCTATTGCCGTAGTAATCAGTTCTACCCCCTCTAAAAATTATAATGCGCAAAACAAATTTTAAAATCAATTTGTAGGTACATGATTTTTACCTGTTGTTAAAAAATGATTCCCTCCCCCTTGCGCCCTTAGTTTTTTTGAACATTTTGTACTTGGATTTCGATTGAAACGTTTCATTTTCAAACTTTTTATCCGGATATACCATTTTGAAAGATAAACAATTGTTTTGGTTATGTTCTACTACCTCTTCTTCTTCTTCTTTTTCCGCCAAGGGCAGTACGACATCACTTGGAGGTAACTTCAGAATAATGATATAAATTATACCATATAAAATGCATAGTCTGTGGTCAGTGGCGCGAAAAAACTCTTTTTTAATTAGAATTTAATGTCAAATGCAGTCAAATAATTGATGTTATGTATCTGTCAGTTTAACGCTATTTTTCTGTTAGAAATTTACACCCAGAACATGCTACGAAATAAGCTTTAAACTAAATATAGTCCAAGATGGTCCAAGAAACTGACAGATACATAACCTCAATTATTTGACTGAATTTCTGGAAAGAAGAACTCTGTAGTAGTCTACAGAGTTCTTGAACATACAGTTAATTTTTTTTTATCTGGACTCGTGTTTTTTTGTTAGGTTGGTGGCTTATGCCAGTTTGACTTGGTATTTTGAGTATTTAAAAATGGTACTTCTTCTAAAGAATTTAATTAAATACTTTGACACTGTCAAATTGACAATAATATTTATTATTGATAATTTACTTGTCAATTATAAATAAAAAGATAATTATGCCAAAAAAAATAGCAACGAATTCGAATGTAAAAGCCCTTTTGAAGGCAAAACTTCATTTTGATGAAATTATGCCAAATGCCAAAAAAAACATCGCCTTATGGACAATTTTGGGGTAAAAAAGTAACGAATTTGGTTTTATAAATATTACATCACACATTATTTTCACATTATTCACCATTGGACAACATTTAAGTCCACAAAAAATGTTAATTTGTTTTATATAAATTCTTTTCAAAGAGAAGATTATTATCCGCTAGGAATACTTTCTCTTCTAGACCGTAAAGCAACCTATATTTAACTACTTTTTTATATGATTTTAATCATCCAAAGCCAAATTAATTGCTTTTTTAACTACGAATTTCGACAATCAACTTGACAACTGCACAATGTAACCTACAATAATTTATACATAACCACAATTAGATTTATAACTAGCTTAGATTGTTTTAATCAATGCGACCAACTTGACAACTGTATTTTCCAACCAAAACCCTAAATTTGCAACGTTGCCGCAATCCAGATAAAAAAAAACCTAAGTTCTTTAAATAAATAAATAAATTTATAAGCGCTTTTTCAATAGACATATTATTATTATTATTATTATTGGTTATCATAGAAAATGCCTAAAGTTTAGGGACTTATACAACAGTGTTGTAACAACACTGTTATACAAATTAAATGATTTTGTGTAACTTACATTTTCATTTTCTTCTTCTGCCTTTCTTTTTTGCCTTTTCCTTGATTCTTGTTTCTTTGGTTTATTTCTTATTTTTTTAGTTTTCTTCTTTGGTTTTTTTTCTTTGGTTTCCTGTGTTTTTTTCAAATTTCTTAGAATTCTCTGGCTTCTTCTAATTAGACGTTTGTGGTTTTTTATTTGAATTATAAACCCGAATTTTGGCTTTTTGGGCTTCTTATATTTCCGTGGTGTTTTCTTTTGATTACTTACTTGCTTTTTGGTTTTTTTGTTAATCTTTACTTGATCTATCTGTAAAAGATTGAAGGCTTCTTTTTTTTTCTCTCTGCGTATTTTTGCAAGTTTTCTAAGTGTTTCAAGCGACTGTCTCTTGACTTTGGGCATTTTCAATTAATAAACACTTGGTTTGTTTTGAAAACTAACCTTACTTATCTTCTGTGTTGGATTTAAATATGCATCACGATGGCTTGTAAACAATAAATGGCAACTGCGCCCCTAAACCAAAACAGGGCTGCGCCTTATGGCATTAAGGGTCCGTCACACGTTTAATAATATTGTTAATATTTGATGACATTGACAATATTGATCGTGTGAGGCGAAATCATAGATAATAAATATTGAAGTCTATGTATTGTCAATATTTTGACAATAAAAATATGGACAATACTATTGATCGTTTGAGGGCCTGAGTTTTTTGTGTCATCCACAGTGTGGATTGTGGTCCCTCACACAAGCAATAGTATTATCAATTTATTGCTATAGAAACTGGCTATATTTAAGGAAACAAGAAGCGGGAGGCTGATGTGATAATTTGTTTGTTTTCTATGGTAAAAGAAATGTTTAAGCGTTTTTTATGTGGATTATACAATTTGGGGATTCAACTGAATAATGGAATTTTTTCGCGATAGGTAGGTATACCTATAGGTATACCTACTCTAAAAAATTGACGGGAAAGTTATAATAAAATTATTTTGTTGCTTATTTCAAAAATATATTAATGTTTTCAATATTTTTATTTTACAGCATAAAAAAATAAAAGTAGACAGTAAAATATCAGCACAAAGCATTGTACAGATCGGCAGATAAAAATTTATTGCCAAAACAGTGTTAAACAAATCAAATAACAATAAATTTGGAGGAAATTGAAAAATCGTAACATCTTCTGGAATCATTTTAGCAACAAGATATTAATTATTAATAATAATTTAATAGTGACCCACTTGACAAATTTTGGCTTAAAATAAAGTACCTACTTAAGTAAGTAATAACTTGATTATTTCAACAACCATCGAAAAGTTCAAGTTCTTACCTATTGTTTATTTTTAAGTTTAGTAGTTAAGCAAAAGTATTTTTTTGTTCCAAATTAAATTGTCTTTCGAAATAAGTAAAATATACAGGGTGTCCCATTAAAAAATATTTTTGTGAATATTTTGAAACCCGACGTTCAGTTGTTTTTCTGTTTTCACTATTTTAATAAGAAGGGAAAATGCCACCAATTTGCTAATAGTACATATGTAGCTCCAATAATAACGGAATGGTGAGTAGATTTTTACACGGGTACTTTTTTTTATTTATTAATTTTTTTTTAAACAAATAATGAAATTGTGTAAACAAAAAAAAACGAATCGAAGGGTAAAAAAAATTTTGTTTTTAGAATTATAGTTTTCCAGTGACCATTGGAGTCGCCAAGGGGGCAGAGGGGGTAGGTGCCCCCACTAGACTAAAAAAAATTAATCAAATGCCATGTCACTTATTGTCAGATTTATAATTCAAATTCATTTAATTAAACAAATTTTTTAAATTCCAAAAAAAAATTAGCACGTAAAACTGAATTATTTTAACCTTCAATTCATGTTGTTGGATGCCCAATTTCTTTTTCGAAAAGTTTTTAACGGATTCTACCAATTTTCAACGAAAAAAAATTTGATGACCGCCCTAAAGCAACTTTTTCCTAAATTTCGATTTTCCGTAAACGGCCAAAACTGAAAGAAAAAATTGAAAAAAATGGTGGAGACATGTTTTAATAAAATACAGTCATGCATTTATAAAAACAATTCATACTAAACTAAAAACTTTGTAATTAGCTCAGTGCGTGAGCACAGTATTTGCACCCACCTATTATTTTAAGGTAATTAGCATTTTTTTAACAAACTGCTTTAGAAAATAATTTTTTTAGAAATTTTTTTTTATTTAATTTCATTGTATATACAATAATAATACTTAATAATAATATATATTATAAAAAATGTTACAATGCAAGATGGGCTTAAACAATTTTTGCTTCCTGTTTGATAGTTGTTTTCACACGGAAAACTAAAAAACAAACAAACCACTCTTGTTGAGCACAGAACAATTTTTGTGAAAATTTTGGAGTTCGCATACCCGAGTGACCACTCGTTTTATAGTAAATCGAGGTGGCTAAATCCGTTTTTGACAATTTTTTTTACGTTAATGGCCTTTGGAAAATGTTGGTTTCCTGATCAAATAAATCAATGATATAATAACAACATCATATCATAACACCTCCTTCAGAAGTTTTACATCAATATATAGTGTCTTTTACAAAATTTAATTTAATTTTTAATTTAATATAATAAAAAAAGATTTATAGGGAGCACTCATTAATTGTTTTTAGTTTCTAAGTATATATATATATATAAACATAAAAATAATATATAATATAATATAATATAAATATAAATAATATATAATATAATATAATATAATATAATATATAATAATATATATATAAACATAAAAATAATTATAATCTATATATGGATTTAAACACCTGCTATAAAATATCAAAAATAAATTTTCAACATTGTTTATTAATCGATTAAATTACCTACAATAGATTACTTATAATTAATATAGCTCATTGGCACATCTTGGAATACAGGTGTTTGGTAATCTTATCATTTTTTAAGATAAAGTAAAAATTTTTAAATATAATTAATACACCGCAAGAAATTTTTAAATTTCAATGTCAGTTTGTTCTGTTCAGTGTATCAATAGGGTTTTTAAATATTTTATTGTTTATGTGGGTTGAATAACATTTTTAAAATGAATCGTAAGTTCTTAATATTTTAGTTCTAAGAATTTAATTTTTTATTGGATGTATCAAAATTTCATGGTTTTTGATGCTTTTTTCACCAGCAGTCATATTTTCTTATTGTTAATAAAATTGCTAAAATTTGTCAGGAATTAAAAAAATCATATTGTGTGAATTTTGGTGAATCACATGGGAAATTTTAGATGACAAATCAAAAACTTGATAAATTAAAGATATTAAAACAGAAAAAAACATTTGATAATTATAATTAAAGTAAATTTTGTGTAATAAAAAAATTCTTTCTTGTTATTTTCTTCACGTAAATAAAAGCACCTGTCACATTTGTTCCAGTTGTGTGGACCATATTTTTTGGTTTTCTACTGTTTTCCGAAGTAAATTCAGAATGCCTTATGTATGGAAACTGTCCAAAGGGGGAGCAAACAAATTGTGTGAACAAACCAGGAACAAAACCTGTGCGCTTAAACAAAACGGACACGCATTATTCGGAAGCTCTGAAGGATTGGAAACGCTACTGTGGCCATGTTTGTAAGTTTATTTTAACAACACTGCCTTTGAAATATCTCAGTTAGTATGTATTTACGAAAAAAATTTTAAAATAAAAGTTAAATGATTCGAGGGGGGAAATCAATTAGTACTAAAATTGGTCCTCATACTCTCCTCCTTATACGGGGAACAGGGGGTAACTTTAAAATTTCCAATGGAACACCCTATTTTTTATTGCAGATTCGGATCATTCGACTAAAAATAGGTAGATTTGGTCTAAAACATTTTTTCATATTTGTAATAGATGGCGCTTTAATGAAAATAAATCAATTTTGTTCGATTTTTCTTTTGTATACGATTCTCCAATAATTTTTGAATAAAATACTTTTTATTTATTTTTTAAATTTTAATTAAAGTAGTTGCTCAAAATGGTGGCCTTCGACTTCAGTGCATTTATTAATTCGCATTTCGTTTTAATATTCTGCTAACACTGCTCTGGGATATTCCCAAATCTCGTGTGCTTGCATGAGGATTAGCGGCCGTTGCTGCTAATACATTAATTTCATTATTTCCACCTGTGATTGTTGCTCGACGAACTCTTTTTTTCGGTTGAACACTCCCGTTTGTAGTAAACTGCTTGACAGTACGGTGAAATGAAGTACGTGATCGAATTTTATCCGGAAAACGCTGAGCGTAAATATATACAGCATCATCAAAATTCCTGCCGGCTTCTCCATAAATCAAAATCATTTCTAGTTTTTCTTCCACTGTTAAAAAATCCATTATGAATAACTGCTTAACGAAAGGAGGTCTTTTTGTTTGCAAATTAATCTACGAACTAAATTGATTAAATAATGCTAAACTATAAATATTTTCTTTATACCTCAATAATAATTATTATTTATAACTAAATACCATTTTTTTATACCTCAATTAGGATTAAATTAATTAATTGACAAAATAATGTTTTTTTTTACCTTAAATGAGGTATTTTTATTAAAGGATTTAATGCTGACAGGTAAAAAGTGACCATGGTGCGCAATTGATAATTATCACCGAATGAAATAATGTATAAAACTAAAACCAAAGGAAACTTAAATATTAGTTTAAAAATTGTGCGTACCTATATACTTTAAAAAATCAGATTTAAATAAAATACTTTTTATTTATTTTTTAAATTTTAATTAAAGTAGTTGCTCAAAATGGTGGCCTTCGACTTCAGTGCATTTATTAATTCGCATTTCGTTTTAATATTCTGCTAACACTGCTCTGGGATATTCCCAAATCTCGTGTGCTTGCATGAGGATTAGCGGCCGTTGCTGCTAATACATTAATTTCATTATTTCCACCTGTGATTGTTGCTCGACGAACTCTTTTTTTCGGTTGAACACTCCCGTTTGTAGTAAACTGCTTGACAGTACGGTGAAATGAAGTACGTGATCGAATTTTATCCGGAAAACGCTGAGCGTAAATATATACAGCATCATCAAAATTCCTGCCGGCTTCTCCATAAATCAAAATCATTTCTAGTTTTTCTTCCACTGTTAAAAAATCCATTATGAATAACTGCTTAACGAAAGGAGGTCTTTTTGTTTGCAAATTAATCTACGAACTAAATTGATTAAATAATGCTAAACTATAAATATTTTCTTTATACCTCAATAATAATTATTATTTATAACTAAATACCATTTTTTTATACCTCAATTAGGATTAAATTAATTAATTGACAAAATAATGTTTTTTTTTACCTTAAATGAGGTATTTTTATTAAAGGATTTAATGCTGACAGGTAAAAAGTGACCATGGTGCGCAATTGATAATTATCACCGAATGAAATAATGTATAAAACTAAAACCAAAGGAAACTTAAATATTAGTTTAAAAATTGTGCGTACCTATATACTTTAAAAAATCAGATTTAATTTAATAAGATAATTATTACAGTGTCATCTATTACAAATATGAAAAAATATTTAAGACAAAATCTACCTATTTTAGTCGAATGATCCGAATCTGCAATAAAAATAGGGTGTTTCATTGAAATTTTTAAAGTTACCCCCTGTTCCCCCTATAAGGAGGAGAGTATGAGGATCAATTTTAGTACTGATTGATACACCCCCTCGAATTATTTAATTTTTATTTTAAACATTTTTTCGTAAAATGCATACTAACTGAGATATTTCAAAGTTAAATGACTCTCCTTGTATAGATACAAACATTTTTTAACATTTTAGCCGAACTAAATGTTGCAAGCGAATTATGTTGCGACGTGAACCAAATAATAAACATGGCCGATGGTTTCAGAAAGGCCGAACAAATTCTGGGAAGATGTCCGACGTGCTCCAAAAACGTATTTCACCATTTATGCCACTTTACATGCTCACCAAACCAAACTGTATTCTTGGATAACGTAAAAACAAACACTACTGAAGATCATGTAACGTACGCGTTGGATGTTGATATTCACCTGCGTAGTTCTTTCATGGATGACGTGTATGAGTCATGCAAGGATGTTGCTGTTCCCCAGTCGGGGGGTACTGCAATGGACGTCACTTGTGGGACTTACAACAGTTTGAATTGCAACCCAGATAGGTAAAGTCCATCCCAGGAGGGTGAATCTCACGAAATGTCCCCCGATCCCTGATAGCAAAATTTGATTCTAAGAATCTTCTAAGAACATATGACCCGGAATAATGGAATATTCTTAGAACCTTCCCTTATTGCTAAGAATGTTCTTAGGGACTTTTAAAACATTCAATACATACCCTTTTAATGATGCAATTAGATTCTTAGAAGCTTCTTAAAACCTCCCTAAAAAGCATTCTAAGAACATTTTAAGAATACGTTTTTGGAATGTTCTTAGAAAGTTTCTTATGGAGCTTCTAGGAAGCTTTTGAGAATATTTCCAAATATGTCAGAAACCCACGTTCTAATATGTTGGATTCTACATTCGTAAAATTCTTCAGGAGGCGACAAATACGCCTCACTGTCATAATATGACAGTGAAATGTATTTGTCGTCCCCTTAAAAAAATTTGCGACATATTAATATATATCTATTTAAAAATATTAAATAAACAATTTGACCTCTAAACCATAAGTTGTATGACAATATTTCATAAAAAGTAAAATTGGAAAATTTTGTGGGATAAGTCAGATTAGATTGAAGTTGAAGATAGTTAGGATTATTATACATAAAAATGTTAATTTAGAAATAAAAAATCGCTATACAAATTAATAAATATTTATTTTTAACATAAAATAAAATATAAAAAAAACAAAATATTTCCTTATAAAATAATTCTTTATAAAAGAAAAAACCAAATAGTTCTTCATAAAAAAACATTTTTCATTGTATTAGTTGGATAGAAGATTTTATGTAAAAGCCGGATAATTTAGATACCTATATATTGTAAAAGTATTTTTGTTATCGAATATTGTTTTAATTTGATAAATAACTATAAAAAAATATTTTGGGTTGTGTTTTTTACTTAGTATTTAATACTAAGTATAGGTACCTTTATACGTAGATTATGGTATATTTTACTATTATATAGGTACCTAATTGAACTGAATATGCTTAACAGAATGTTTCAGGAATATTCCTAAATGAACTTTCTATAGCAATTACTTTCTCAACATTCTAAGCATATGTTTAGAGTGGATTAATTTTTACCACTAAACTTTGCACCTTCTAAGAACCTGCTTATAGGCCAGTGAGAATATTCTTAGGATTATGCTATATTTCTTTTAAGCATGTTCTTTAGAAGAAATATAGCATGATCCTAAGAATATTCTCACTGGAAGGTTTAAAAAACATTCTTAGAACATGACTAGAAGAAATATAGCATGATCCTAAGAATATTCTCACTGGAAGGTTTAAAAAACATTCTTAGAACATGACTAGAAGAAATATAGCATGATCCTAAAAATATTCCCACTGGAAGGTTTAAAAAACATTCTTAGAATAAACTGTGCTATCAGGGATGGTATTTAATAAAACTAAATGAGTGTGACCTACACTTTTATTGTGTTTTGATCTTTCATAATTAAGTAGATATTACAGCTCAGGTTTCAGATTTTTAACCGCAATTAATTGTTTTAAAAGTCTAAAACATATCCTCTGTGATTGTTACTTTTTCTAGGTAAACCTACATGTTTTCAAATATCAGAGGTAGTAAAAGCATACTAAAAATATCAGTTAACTAAGTAAATTAAACAAATCCAAAGCAATCGAATCAAATATAAAATATTATTAAAAATTAAAAGAAATATTTTTTATTACCATTTATGTTTGATTCTAGATACAATACCTTATTTTAAATATACAAAGGGATGTTTAAAAAAAACTTACGAAATCCTAACCTCCGTGAAACTATCTTCCGTGAAACTCTACTATTTAAAATGTATGATTTCTTTAAATTCTTGCATTAGTGCAGAACCACTTATGTTATTTTATTACTAGACCTGGTGGCTTCCCAAAAACCCCATTCTACACTGTTTAAAATATCTGTGGTTTAAAATGGTGTCAAAATCCAACACCAAGTGGTGTTAATATAACACCATGAATTATGGTTGAAAATGTTTTATACAGCAAACACCAAAACGGTGTTTATCTAAAAATATTTTAGAAGTGCACCTATAGATACACAGAAAAAAAGGAATAGTTAGTTCATTTAACTATATTAATTTAGTTGACCCATAAGTATTTCTTTAAATCAACTGTGGGAAGATTAATATAAACAAAGATTAGTTTGACGGTACTAAACCAGATAGTTATTTTATTTTTTTAAATTGGTTAAATTAACCCAGAAAACTTTAGTGAAACCAACCCGCTGTATGGTTCAGTTTACTAAATATTTTGTTTGTAAAATAAGACTAAGACCTTAAATAGGTGGAAACAGCTGTCAAGACCTTAAGTTGGTGGAACGTACAAAAAACATTATCTCTAGCGAGTTGAAGGTTCAATTTTCTGGAATAATACCACTGGTAATATACTTGTAATACTTCAAGGAACTTCCTGTTTCCTTTTTTTCTGTGTAGTATGATTTAATTTGAACAAAAACACATTATATTTAACACTGAAAAGGGGTTCAATTTACACCAGGTAAAATTTATTTTAATACTGTGTGAAAGTTAAATTTACACCATTTTAGTATTTGAATTTACACCGGACCAACGAACCTTATTTAACTCCATTTTGGTTTCTATCGATATAGACCATGTATGGTGTTAATTTGGTGTTAAAATGGTCATGAAATTTTGAACAGGGTAGACTAACAGTAATAAAAAATAATTATTTTCACTTGGGGGACATCTCAATATATTCACCCAGGTAAAATGCTGATGATCATCAATAACACAACTTTTAGGTGGTTCGTTGGTATGGGTCATTCCGAATTTGGTCCTATGAATCTAACATTTAAACGACAACCTGATAACTGCACTCAATGTTTAAGGCTGACAGCTCTACCTTGCGATGAAACCTTTGTAATAAAAAAAAAAATACTTTTAAAACTCCTTTAAAATAAATATAAATTTTAGGAAGGAGATTTGGAATGCAGCTGCACTGATTGTAGGAAAATGTGCAGCAACTTTGACTATCCAGAATTAACGAAATTGTTTAAAGGAGAAGTGATATTTGTGGCAGTGAATTGCGTGGTTGCCTTTTTGATAACCGCTCTTATTGTGGGTACTTATTTGATGAAAAGAAAGAGTTTCAGTCCTTCTCAATTTATAGCTTGCAAATCAAACGAATTTGGAGAAAAAATAAACCACTATTTGGAGGATTTTTTTAGAAAATTTGCTACAGGTAAAAAACATTTTACAGTGAACGGCAAAAGTATGAAACAAATTCATTAAAAAAGTTCGTGATTTTAATTTTTTTATTTTCAAAAAAATATTTGTATCTTCATGAAAATTATTTTGAAAATTCTCTTAATGGATACATTAACCAATTAAATAATATTAATATATTATATTGTAAAGTTTTTAACTGTTCGTAGTGTGAATTAAAACACACACTGGTTTATTAACGAACTAAACGATTTATTTTTATAACACAAAGGAACTATAAAACTAACTAAACACTACTAAATATTTATATATCATCACTGTACAAGAGTCTATTTATTTGCACGTATATTTATTTATTTTATCGCGAGTACCAAAGCTTGACTGACTGCTCCATGCTGCGCTGTTTCTTATATATTCGGTGCAACAACAACGCTAACAGTATTATTATAGGGATCTCAAAACACGCAGTCATTGTTTTGATCATATCACTCATTGTGGTATGTTCAATTACAACGGGTTCCTTCTACCCAAGTCCATTAAAAATCACCACAAGTCCAGTGGAAATATGGGCTTCCCCAACAAGCAGAAGCAGAAAAGAAAAGGATTTTTTCGATTCGAACTTTGGACCGTTCTATAGAACCAATCAAATTTTCATCAAAGCCAAGAATTTGGATTCCGTATGTCATAAAATACGAGAACTTACTTTTTATTCAAAACTTAAGTTCTTGCCGTGTATTGTATATTTCTTTACATACCTATTTTATTTCAGTTTCATGTTAACATAAGTGATGAAGAAACTAAAATAGGACCTGTTTTTAATCAAATATTCATGGAAAAAGTTTTTGAAATCGAGAAGAATATAATAAACGTAAATATATTAAAAAAAATATATTTCAAAAATAATAAAACAATTTTTAGATCAAAATTGATGGCGAAGAAATATTAAAGAATATCTGCTATGCTCCACTACGAACGCCTTTGGATGACCCTAAAAAGGTGTCTAGCTCTAGTTGTGCTATTATGTCTATGTCTGGTTGGATACAAGACATATCCAATGCTACAACCAACTACAAAGAAACTCTTAATACGATCCTGAACTGTTTAAGGTATAGTAGAAGGGAGTATGTTCTTTGGTAGTGTATAATGTCAGGAAATGCTCATCCCAATTAACATTTTTGTTTTTAAAGTGGTTTCCATAAATGTTATATCATCCAAATTATAAAACCTAAATTCCTTAATTTGGTTACAGAAATATTTATATCACCCTTATATACCCCTTAAAGAGTTTATAAACTTTATCGGCACCTATTTTAGTAACACTAAAAAACCCAAGTTTTATAACAGGAATTTTATGGAAACCACTATATAACTTCCTAAAGAACTGCTTTCAGTTTTTTTTCTTCTTTTAATATTTCTCTCTCCCTCAGGCACATTTAAAATATCCCTGATAGCAAAATTTGATTTTAAGAATCTTCTAAGAAGATATTGCTAAGAATGCTCTTAGGGACTTTTAAAACATTCAATAGATACCCTTTTAATGATGTAATTAGATTCTTAAAAGCTTCTTAAAACCTTCCTAAAAAGCATCCTAAGAACATTTTAAGAATACGTTTTTGGAATGTTCTTAGAAGGTTTCTTATGGAGCTTCTAGAAAGCTTTTGAGAATATTTCCAAATATGTCAGATACTCACGTTCTAATATGTTGTATTCTACATTCGTAAAATTCTTCAGGAGACGATAAATACGCCTCAATGTCATAATATGACAGTGAAATGTATTTGTCGTCCACTTAAAAAATTTTGCGACATATTAATATATATTTATTTAAAAATATTAAATAAACAATTTGACCTCTAAACCATAAGTTGTATGACATTTCATAAAAAGTAAAATTGGAGAATTTTGTGGCATAAGTATGGCATAAGTCAGATTAGATTGAAGTTGAAGATAGTTAGGATTATTATACATAAAAATGTTAATTCAGAAATAAAAAATCGGTATACAAATTAATAAATATTTATTTTTAACATAAAATAAAATACCTATAGTAAAAGTATTTTTGTTATCGAATATTGTTTTAATTTGACAAATAACTAATTAGGTACTTAAGTAGGTACGTAGTTTATGCTATATTTTACTATTATAAAGGTAACTGAACTAAATATGCTTAACAGGAATATGAACTTTCTATAGCAATTACTTTCTTAACATTCTAAGCATATGTTTAGAGTAGACTAATTTTTACCACTAAAACTTTGCACCTTCTAAGAACCTGCCTATAGGCCAGTAAGAATATTCTTAGGATCATGATATATGTCTTTTAAGCATGTTCCTTAGAAGAAATATAGCATGATCCTAAGAATATTCTCACTGGACGGTTTAAAAAACATTCTTAGAATAAAGTTTGCTATCAGGGTACTTGATAGTAGAGTAGGTAATTTAATTATTATTTTTTTGGAAATTGCAGTAGCCCATATCAATACTCATGTTTAGCCACATATGGAGGTCCGATTTTACCAGGATTAGTAATGGGGGGTAACACACAATCGAATTACTTGGACGCTACAGCCGTAAGTTTGACATTTCTTGGTAAAAACAGCATAAACGAAGACGATTTGGTGGATTCACTAAAATGGGAAAAAGAGTACATAATAGAACTTAAACACTTTAAACTTACATTCTTCATCTTTGATGTTGTAGGTTTGTAAATTACTTAAAAGACTTCTCATCCAAACTAACTGATGAAGATGTGATAGAAATTGCTTTTTCTGCGGAACGATCCATCCAAGATGAAATCGCAAGAGAGTCAATGGGAGAAGTATCAACTGTCGCAATCAGTTATTTAATTATGCTTCTGTATATTGCTCTAGCTCTTGGAAAATTGAAGGGTGGTTTGGTATGTCGAAACTAACACCAAAAATTATGCCCATTGAGATTTTATTTTCCACAGAAAGAAACAAAAATTTTGCTGGGACTCGTCGGAGTTCTAATAGTTCTGGCTTCCGTTGGGTGTTCTTTAGGCATTTGTGGCTACTTGGGAATACCTACGACTTTATTGACTCTGGAAGTTATACCTTTTCTGGTTTTGGCAGTCGGTGTCGATAATATTTACATTATTGTTCAAACTCATCAAAGAACTCCAAAGTATGGTAATGAACAAAAATTATTGCAGTTTTATCAATTTTATTTTAGGTCTGATAAGGCCCTGTCAGAAAGAATAGGCGACACAATGGCCAAAGTAGGACCCAGTATGCTTTTAACGAGTTCTTCAGAAATATTTTGCTTTGGAATTGGTGGGTACTTTATCCTTAAAACGTTGCAAAATTGTGTTGTATTATTATTATTATTATTATTATTATTATTATTTAAGGGGCCTTATCCAATATGCCAGCCGTTTACACATTCGCTATGTTCGCGACCATAGCAGTTTTATTCGACTTGATGTTACAGTTGACAGCGTTTGTAGCTTTACTCACTTTGGATGAAATGAGACGCGAGGTAAGTTACTCAATGACTTAACTCCTTTGTTAACGAGTATACCAAGAATGGACTTTTTGTCCTCCTTTCGAACCTTTCGATACCTAGTACACCCGATGTCAGTTTACGGTTTAATCAACCTTAGCTTCCCAGATAGCACAGATACATCTTGAAGCTATCTTAAAGATGTCGGACTCGGACGTTTATGACATCATTAAGACGTCAAGTTTACGACGTAAGTCATCTTTAAGACGTCTTTAAGATATCTAATGTTACAAAACACGATGCATTGTCTTTAAGATGTCGTTTTAACGCCATTATTAAGTCGTTGCTAAACGTCACCAAATTCACAAAAAAAAATCGAAAACCAACACTGCACACTACTTTGACTTGTCACTTGAGTTCTTGAACGTCGAACGGGAACATAAAAAAGAAAAACCGACACCATTAGTAATAGCATTCAAGCAAATTCAACATATATGTATATACTTACAAGAAGCAAAAATAGCGTCGGATGTGCACATACTAAATAACTAAATGCAGATTGCACATGTGCTATCTGCATTTAGTTACGAGTGATTTAAGAATTAAAAAGAGGCAGACATATCAGCGCTTGGTGAAATAGAAAAGAACAGCATAAGGATCATATGGCGTGACTTATAAGATGGTGCCGATTTGATGATTTTATTGCATTATGGGAAATGTGCGGGTAATTTGATTTAAAAACTTTCGCTGGGTTATTTTAAGTTTATATTGTCTTAATTTTTTAAAAACATGTTTGTTTATAATGTTTTTATTACAAATGGATATTATTAATTGTAGGAGAAATAACCAATCTACAAGAATGTCAGATATATATTTATTCAGTTATCTTAGTTGTCAAAACTTAAAATCCTATTACACCAAAATAAGATATTATTAATTGTAGGAGAAATAACCAATCTACAAGAATGTCAGATATATATTTATTCAGTTATCTTAGTTGTCAAAACTTAAAATCCTATTACAACAAAATAAGATGCATCTTAGATATAATAGGTACCATGGTACCTAATTATATCTTATTATGAAGTGGCTCATTATTCACTAATTTATCAAAAAATTAAAAAAAAAATAAACGGCGGTACCAAATTTTGTGGGGATGGTTGCCAACTTTAGTAAATGTAGACTTTAAAATTTCATTTTCTTTACAAACATCAATCGGCTTCATATTAATTGTACTATGTTTTGTATTATTATAATTTGAAACAATTTGTGGTAATACATTAATCCATTTATATGAGCCATTTAAACTAAAATATTTGAATAAACGTTCTTTTATAACGCGTTCAGCGATTGCAGGCTTTTTACAACTAAATGTGTTATAGTGATTTATTTTATATTTAGTCATAAGTTTTTTAAATCGTAGACATCTTTCTTTCAATATTAATTCAAAAGCTTTGGTAACTTCCTCTTCAGATTTATTTTTTAATGGTTTGGCCCACAAATATTTAGAAAAACAGTCAATAACAACTAGTATATATTTAAATTGACCATTATTTGCTGCATAAAGGTCCATTTGACCCAAGTCAGCCTGCCACAAATCATCTATATGTTTAAAATTTGTCCGCCTGCGTTTAAAGATTTTTCTTATCGGCTTATGCAGTTCATTAACAAGTTTAATTTTTTCCTGTATATGTTTCATGGTATTAGAGTGTGATTACTAACATTAAAAGAGTTTTCCATCATCTTTAAATCTTTTCTCAAACTTTTTCTCTAAATCATCAAATTTTTTTCTCAGAATTTCGACTTTGTTGTTGTTCAGTACAATATCACTAAATGGTATAAGATGTCTTTAGAACATTAAATAAAGATATCTTTAAGACGTCTATTAAAAGACGTCTTTTAGATGTCTTTTTTAGATCTTAAGACGTTCAGGTATAATACAGACATACTAAAGACTTTGTGTGCTATCTGGGTTATAATTAGTATAAATATGGTAGATTTAGAAGTTACACTTCCGTTTCTGAAGATGCCAAAAAATGAAAATGAAAAAATTAAATATCTCTAAAACAATTGAAAATAGTAAATTAGGTGAATCACAATCATATTTTTGTAATTTAATTTCTTAGGATAACAGATGGGACTTTCTTTGTTGCGTGAAATCCGAAAAGGGGAACATTCCTGGAAATGGTTTAGTTCACCATATTTGGGAGAAATACATTACGCCAGCTATAATGGGGTAATCAAAATAAATATGATTTTTTTGGGTTCAATAATAACGCAAGTAATTGTTTTAGATTTAAAATAAAAATAATCATCATGCTAGTGTTTCTAGCATCCTTAGTATTTAGTATAGTTTTCTTGCCAAAAGTTGAATGTGGTTTGGATCAAGAATTGTCCATGCCAACTGATAGCCACGTTCTTAAATACTTCCAAGTAAGTTTGTAGAGGGTGTTGTAAAATTAAGTGACAAATCTAATATTTCGTTTTTCAGTATATGAAAGAGTTGATGAGAATAGGCCCCCCAACATATTGGGTCTTAAGGGGGGATGTAGATTATACAGACCAAAATTTACAAAAAAAACTATGTGGAGGCGTCAATTGTAGCAAGAATTCTGTTGCCACACAACTTTTTACTGCTTCATTGCAGTCTGAATCGTAAGTATCTATATATTTTTTTAAATATAGTATATATTATATATTTAATATACCCGGACAACATTCGTGATGTTCATACGAACATCATGTCGTGATTTTCACAAATTTTATTCATACTGATATCATACGGAAGTCACCGCGTTATAAATGAAAATCATACGAACGTCACATCGTGATTTTCACAAATTTTATTCATACGGACATCATCCGGATGTCACTGCGTGAGAAATGAAAATCATGTCGTGATTTTTTATGCCATCGCTGTTTGCGATTGATCGATGGCCTAAAAAATCATGTCGTGATTTTTTATGCCAACGGTGTTTGGATAATCATTTTTGCTCCACGTTCGTACACTAAGAGAAAAATTATGTTGAATCAACAGTTTTTGCGGTTAAATACATTTAATATTTTCTTGGATTTAAATTAACTATATATAGTTAATTTAAATCCAAGAAAATATTGAATGTATTTAACCACAAAAACTGTTGATTCAATATAAATGTGGGTATACTTTTTCTCTGCGAATGTGGCGCAAAAATAAATATCCAAACAACGATGACATAAAAAATCACTACATGATTTTTTAGGCTATCGGTGTTTGGGCATAAACAATCACAACATGATCTTTTATGCAATCGGTGCACCGACATGTTTGGATATTTATTTTTGCGCCACATTCGTACATTGAAAGAAAAAATATGTTAACAATTGAATTAACAGTTCTTGCGGTTAAATACATTTAATATTTTCTTGGATGTAAATTAACTATTAATTTAAATCCAAAAAAATATTGAATGTATTTAACCACAATAACTGTTGATTCAATATCCATATATGTAGGTATACTTTTTCTCTCAATGTACGAATGTGGCGCAAAAATAAATATAAAAACACCGATGGCATAAAAAATCACGACATGATTTTTTATGCCATCGGTGTTTGGATATTCATTTTTGCGAAACATTTGTACATTGAAAGAAATAGTATGTTAACAATTGAATCAACAGTTTAACATTCAATATTTTCTTGGCTTTAAATTAACTATATATAGTTAGTTTAAATCCAAGAAAATATTCGCAAATATCACACCGTGAGCTCTACATGATATCACTGTGATGAAGCATGTGTATGCACTCAGGATATCACAGCGTGATAAAAAAAATCACGTTGTGATATCATCATGACTTCATCCGGAAATCCCGATTGTTGTCCGGGTAGTTGGTTTTACTGACAATAGAAGGGTTTAAAATTCTTGAAACCTGGCAATTTTAGAACGTATTTATCAGTGCAGTCGAACTCATGGGTGGACGATTTCAAAGATTGGAGCGACTCTGAAAATTGTTGCTTTTACAATGTGAATAGTAACAACACGTATTGTCCGCATGCTACTCACACGAACTGCAAGTCGTGTTCGTTTAGTGCAACGGGAGTGTCTCGAGAGGAATATTTCAAAAAATATTTTTCGTTTTTCCTTCTGGAAAATCCAGACGTAGAATGCGCAAAAGGAGGACATGCTGCTTATTACGGAGTAAGTAATATTGTTTTTTCTGAATTTTATTTAACATTTTATATTTTTAAAGGGTATTGCCTACAGTGCAGATGACGATGGGAATACTAAGATACAGGCTTCCAGTACCATGTCATATCATAATATTCTGCGAGGTTCTAAAGATTACATAAGCGCGCTTAGGTATGCCAGATCTATAGCGGAGAATTTAACAAAAACCATTGATATAGCAGGGGTAGACGTATTTCCCTACAGGTAACTATTTCTGTACACCAGAATTCACAACAAAAACAATATACGCTAAAGAAGTATCGGGTTTTCGCAACGCGGGCGCCATCTGGTGGACTTCGATAGCATTAGTCAACAATACATTTAAAGCACAGATTATACATCATTTTTAAATAAATAGGTAGTTTTTTTCACAAAAAAAAACAAGGCAGAAGTCTTACTCGACAAATTTTGTTCAATTGCACAGCTAAATCGCGCACGGTATTTGAGTTTTACGTTGCAAGGAAAAAATTTAAAAAAATTTTTAGTACCTACTCCATTTCGATTGATTATTCCTTATATCATTGATTAAGAAACTCAACGCTTAAATGCTTATATAGTTACGTTAGTGTGTGTATTTTATCTAAGGGATCATGGTGAATTATTGTGTTTTTAATTGTAAATAAAATTCAAGAACTAAATCGTTGTATTTTCATGTTTTGCCAAAGGATCCAATTCGGTAAGTACATTTGTTGGTGCAGAATTAACTAATGATAACTTTACCTAATATAATTTATATTTAAGTATGGAAATTTTTAAGAAATTAGTAAAAAATAATTTTTGCACAAACATAACCTTAAAATCAACAATTTTTATATTTGAGTTCTCTAAAAAACGCCGACAACTGCAACTGCAACAAAATATACTTACGAATTCATGGCAACATAATATTATATATATATGTTATGGCTAATGTGCAAACTTGGATAGTTTATAAACTAGCTGGATAGTTTATAAACTAGCCAAACTGTCAGCTATTTTAATTGAAAACATATTTTCAACTAAATTAGCGGCTAGTTTACAAAATAACCAAGGATCTTGGCTAATTTACTTAAAATTATTAGAAAAACTAAAATAGCTGGATAGTTTGTATACTATCCAATTCAGTTTGGCTAATATGAAAACCAAAATTTCTAGTAACACAAAATAGCCAAGCTTTAGCTAGTTTGTAAACTAACCAACCAATTCTCTAGCTAATTTATTAAAAAAGTGAGGTTACGGCATTGTTTTTCGTTTTGCCGGCTTAACCGGATTGGTTTTGTGCATTTTAACGTTTTTAAAATGAATCATAGGCCCAATTTTTCACGCTTCTTTGTTAGAAAACTTAACAACACAACCCTACCGACCCCGCCCCATTGGTCAAATGGTCAAAAATGTGAGAAAAAAACCCAAACCAACCCAAACTCAACAACACAACCCAACCGACCCTGCCCCATTGGGCCCCCCCCCGCCCCATTGAGCAAAAAACCCAACTAATATGGGCAATAGCCAGAGAATTAGTTGGTTAGTTTACAAACTAGCTAAAGCTTGGCTATTTTGTGTTACTAGAAATTTTTGTTTTCATATTAGCCAAATTGAATTGGATAGTAGGTATACAAACTATCCAGCTATTTTAGTTTCCCTAATAATTTCAAGTAAATTAGCCAAGATCCTTGGTTATTTTGTAAACTAGCCGATAATTTAGTTGAAAATACATTTTCAATTAAAATAGCTGACAGTTTGGTTAGTTTATAAACTATCCAGCTAGTTTATAAACTATCCAAGTTTGCACATTAGCCGTAACAGTATCTAATAGGTACAATTTATATTTACAGAGACTGCGTTGCAATTTATTTCTTCATTCAGATTAAGACTGTTTATTTGAAAACCGGTAAAAACTCAACCCAGGATTTCCTCTCGAAATACACCCAACAAAACAACAAATCGAGCCACGGTTTTTTTTCGATATTTTTTAAACTTTTTCCGGCTTTATTCTCAAAAACACTCGTTTGTAACATAAGCGTTTGACAGCTGATTATTAAAAGTTGTTCTTTTGTTACGATGATAACAGCCGAGTGGTGGCGCTACTAGCGATACTTCTTTAGCGTAAAGTGTCAAAAACAACGTTCCAATAAATAATCTTTGTTTTAGTGTATTTTACGTATACTTTGAACAATACCTGTCAATTTGGCAGGACACTTTTGTATCGCTGGCTTATTCCTTGGCTGTCGTTTTTGGAGTGTCCTTTATATTATGCGGATTCGATGTATTTTCAGCCTTAACAATATTGTTAACTTCAACAATGATACTCACCAATATGTTTGGACTTATGTATCTCTGGAATATTACGTTGAACGCTGTTTCGCTTGTCAACTTAGTCATGGTAGATTTAAAATTATTTTTGATTATATTTTTTTTAAATATAATTTTTAGACGGTTGGTATAGCTGTAGAATTTTGTGGGCACATAGTGCATCATTTTAAGAAATCTCAGAAAATAACGGCAGAAGAAAGAGCTATAGATGCTTCCATCAGCATGGGAAGTTCAGTAAGTTTGTTGAATACATTTTTACATTCGTTAAATTATAATGTACTTTTTTAGGTATTCTCTGGAATAACACTTACCAAATTTTCTGGTATAGCCGTATTGGCGTTCGCAAAATCTCAAATATTCCGAATTTTCTACTTCAGAATGTACCTGGGTATGGTGATAATTGGAGCATTGCATGGTCTAATATTTTTACCAGTGTTTTTAAGTTTTGCTGGTATGTTTTTATGTAATTTATTTAAAAGAGTTTCAAACAATTTTAACCATAACTACCATTGATGAAAAGAACACATGCCTAAAACGAGCCAGCTCCATTTATGGATTCTTTTATAATTATCATCATAAATTTTCTTTCTTATTTTGAATTATATTCAAAGCTGTATTTTGTTGTTACTAATTTAGTTTAAAATATAATATATAAAATGTTAACTTAATGTAACAGAGATATGCAAAGTGCAGCAATTATTATGGAACGCCGTTTTACTATTTAATATACATTTATACCAATGTTTCATTTAAATGATAGATGAAAAAACAGAAATTCGTTAATAGAAATGAAATGAATTTCTTTGACCCAAGTGTCTTTTAAATTAAACTTAAGAATTAGTAGACGGATTTCGACGAAAGTTGAATTTATCATACCTACTCTTATGAAGTCTCCAATGTAAATTTAAGTCATAAAAATGACCTACATCTGATTAATATTAGCTGGAAACCATTTAAATGATACATAGAAACAAACAAATGAATTTAACTTATAGTTTTAAAGTTATGGTTGTATTTATATGATAGTTGGATTATTCCCTCCAGTGCATTTATAACGACAAATAAAGTTAAACATGATTTTAATGAAAAATAAACTTATGCAGTTGTATTTCAAACATAGTTTATTCTAAATGAATATTGGCCCCTATATAACATTTAAATGAATGTTGGGTCAGTCAAAATTACATTAAATTTTTAAAATAGTAAGAAAAGTTCACATTTCAACAATAAATTATTTTTTTTTGTATTTAGATTTAAATGATACTCGAATTTTCGAGACATGTAGATGTCTAGCGAATCATTTAAAACATAGTTGAATTTTTCTTACTCATGCATGAGTTTAAATGACATCTGAATTTATCTGGTAGATAAGCAGCTTGTGTATCATTCGAATGAAACTAGCATTTTACTTTCATTTAAATTTAAATGGCACTTTAATTTTTACAATAGTTGGATTTAACAGATATAAAATATATATATATTTTCATTTTCATTTCAATAGAATCTGCATTTAACTAAAAGTTGAATATAAATAACATTTGAATTCAAACGACACTTAAATTAAATTGACACTTGAATTCAAACGACACTTGAATTAAAACGTCACTTGAATTCAAACGACACTTGCATTTAAATGGAACTTGAATTTAAATGCAACTTGAATTTAAATGACCCAGATGTCTATTTCTTTGACCTAAGCAGCTGCCATCTATCGACAGGTAGTTGAAACATTTTCAAATTGCAGTTTAGGGGTAAATTAGCGGCATCTTTTTCGCTAACTTGCAAAAACAAGAAGATCAGTCACACCAAAAAAGAATCACACATGATCTTAATCCATGATACATGATCTTAATCTAAGTCTTTAATCCTTATATAGTAACCGCACAAAACTCTTTATCGTTAAGTAATAAATAAAACTTAAATCCAGCGGAAAAAATGTGGGGGATTCGTACACTATACCATTGTTTTTAAAAACAATGACTATACTCTATGGTAAACCATGTAGATAAATACAAACAGGCGCATAGACCGACATTTTGTTTGAATGCATTGTTGTAACCACAGATGGCGCTGTAAAATCAACTATTTCAACTATCTGTCGATAGATGGCAGCTGCTTAGGTCAAAGAAATAGACATCTGGGTCATTTAAATTCAAGTTGCATTTAAATTCAAGTACCATTTAAATGCAAGTGTCGTTTAAATTCAAGTGATGTTTTAATTCAAGTGTCAATTTAATTCAAGTGTCGTTTGAATTCAAATGTCATTTAAATTAAACTTTTAGTTAAATGCAGATTCCATTTAAATAAAAATGAAAAAATATATATTTTTTTATCTGTTATTTCCAACTTATATAAAAATTAAAGTGCTATTTAAATTCAAATGAAAGTAAAATGCAAGAACCATTTAAATGATACCAAGCTGCTTATGTACTTGATAAATTCACAAGTTATTTAAATTCATGTGTATGAAAAATTTAACTTTGTTTTAAATGATTCCTTAGATGTCTTACATGTCTTAAAAATTTGAGTGTCTTTTAAATTCAAATACAAGTTTATTACAATTGTCATTGAAATTGTTTCACCGCATGCATATATAAGAAAAATAGGAAAGAAATTTCAAGTTAGCATTAAAATGATACTTGGGTCAACAAAATGCATTTCATTTCTATTATCGAATTTCTTTCTTTTTCATCTATCATTTAAATGAAACATTGGTATAAATGTATAATAAATAGTAAAACGGCGTTCCATAAATTATACTTCTATTGGTATTTTTTTATTCATATAAAAAAATATAAAAATACTTACCTTCAAGATTAATTAAAAATTTGTTTTTATAGGCACCATAAAATATCCTTGCAAAAATTCAGAATCTGATGAAGATGATATAATTATACCAGGAAAAACGAATAGTTTTGAAACCTTGCCATCAAATGAATTAAACGAAAAATATTAACTCAAAAAACTCAAAAGTTTCAAATACAATTGGTGGTAAGTTATTATTTAAAACAAATGATTGCCTGTTGAGTAATATTTTTGATTTTAGGTTGCCCACATCATTACAACTTAAGGGATATTAAAGTTTTGCAGATAAATCTGAACAAATTACAAAAATCCTTTATTTATTTTTAGGTTAAGTTGTAGATATTAACTTTTTTATATTTAATTTTGGTTGTAATAAAAAAAATATTAACATTATCACATTTTTTTATTCCTGTGAATATGCTACTCTGGTACCTAATGAACATTTTAGTAAATTGTTGTGCTAAATCAATAGGCCAAAAAATATGGCATGCCGTTTTACTATTTAATTATAATTTTTCTGCAATTAAAAAAGAATTGGACCAAGGATATAAAATTTACTGTATGTTAAAGGTGGTATTTGGCTGGATTTACAGAAAAACATTTTGCAAGTTCAAATAAAATTTATAAAATTTGTACATCTATTAAAAATAATTCATTGAATTTAAAATTCAACATCAACGCCTTAGCAATATGTACTTAGTTATTTTTTGTAACATTTTTTATTATATTATTCTCCATGATGTTAGGATAAAAATATGTTGTTAAATGGTAAAACGGCTTGCCATAAATCATTAAAGAAAGTGCACCACTTTTAAGCCATTTAATTGGTAAGTGGTGAGCAAAATAAAATTTAAATTTAATGAGGTAAAATATTATACGGATTCTACGATAATACTTGCTTGAATAGCAACAGATTAAATATTCTTTAAACTTTTGTATACATTCGAGTTTTTGAAGTACAAAAACTGACAAATGTTATATATCTGGAAAGGAAAATCCAGCAGAGGCATAGACCCTAATGAACTTTTTGAAAACAAATTATGGTGGACAGGACCTAGTTGGTTATCAAAAACAAAGAATTCTAGCCAAAACCTGATGTTATACCGATTTCCGAGATTCCCGAAATGAAGATTTTTACTGACGCCATAATTAACTAATAAATCTCAAGTTATATAAATTTCCAATTAAGTTTCCAAGAGTAAATCATTAATAATTTTTAGAAGTAGCTCAATTCGAAAATAAAATAAATTTATTAGCCAAGTAGCATTATAGTGACGAAAATTGATATCACCACGTCAAATGAGTGGCAATAACGTTTAAATAATTAAATCTACCACGATACAGTTAAAATATCTCAATATTATATTAGCATAGTTGGAATCATGTAATTTGCAAAAACAGAATGTACTTTATAGTTTTATAACTTTTTGGTGTATTAGTCTGGTATCTGAAATGTTATGACCACTTTTGACACCACCTTAAAGTTGTCTAAATTTTAGAGTGGATTACTTTGATGTGGTAGTAGTAGTAAAGTGGGTATATCAGTTTTGGCAACGTTTTCGGAACTTTTCCAAAACCTTAACTGAATATGATAAAACCGGGTGAATGCAGATATAAACCCAAATACAGGTATTTGCGGATGAAACCAGATGAAAGCAGACATAGAACTAAATAGATAAAACCCGACGTTCGCGGATAATATTTATACCCGCAATTGCAGATAAAAACCGACATGCCGGGTAAAATCAGATATGTCGGATGAAAACAGATATAAATGGACATAAAACTAGCTTGGTTTTTTATCCGCAATCATCCCATATTACCCGTCTTTTTCAGCAGGGATATGCTTAGAATGTTGAGAAAGTAATTGCTATAGAAAGTTCATTTAGGAATATTCCTGGAACATTCTGTTAAGCATTCAGTTCAGTTAGGTACCTATATAATAGTAAAATATACCATAATCTACGTATAAAGGTACCTATACTTAGTATTAAATACTAAGTAAAAAACACAACCCAAAATATTTTTTTATAGTTATTTGTCAAATTAAAACAATATTCGATAACAAAAATACTTTTACTATAGGTATCTAAATTATCCGGCTTTTACATAAAACCTTTCTATCCAACTTAAATACAATGAAAAATGTTTTTTTTATGAAGAACCATTTGGTTTTTTCTTTTATGAAGAAATATTTTATAAGGAAATATTTTGTTTTTTTATATTTTATTTTATTTTAAAAATAAATATTTTTTAATTTGTATACCGATTTTTTATTTCTGAATTAAAATTTTTATGTATAATAATCCTAACTATCTTCAACTTCAATCTAATCTGACTTATCCCACAAAATTTTCCAATTTTACTTTTTATGAAATAATGTCATCAAACTTTTTCATTTTTTAAGGGGACGACAAATACATTTCACTGTCATATTATGACAGTGAGGCGTATTTGTCGCCTCCTGAAGAATTTTACGAATGTAGAATCCAACATATTAGAACGTGGGTATCTGACATATTTGGAAATATTCTCAAAAGCTTCCTAGAAGCTCCATAAGAAACCTTCTAAGAACATTCCAAAAACGTATTCTTAAAATGTTCTTAGAATGCTTTTTAGGAAGGTTTTAAGAAGCTTCTAAGAATCTAATTGCATCATTAAAAGGGTATCTATTGAATGTTTTAAAAGTCCCTAAGAACATTCTTAGCAATAAGGGAAGGTTCTAAGAATATTCCATTATTCCGGGTCATATCTTCTTATCAGGGATGTGGCAAAACTTGATTATATAATTGCGGTTGTGATTGCCACGTTCTTGCTGCATGCTTAAGTGATTTCCACGTTTCGTATAGAATTACCATTTTAAAGTTTCCTTTTTCAAAAGCAGACATTTTTACAAATATTTGCCATTGTAGGGAAATAAATGTGTAGTTTTAAACAAATAATTCTGGTTATTACAGCACCAAATTTAACATGTTAATACATTTTTATTGGTTTCAGGTAACCAGAAATAAGTTTATAGATTTTTTTATTCTTAAGAAAAAAGAAAATAAGAAAAAAAAAATTTTATTACCCATTATTTCAACAGGGCGTGCCTATATTTCAAGCTATGAAACCCATGTTTAACAGTAAAATTTAATTCGTGTTAATTTTATGTCTTTGGATTATTTTAATTCCAGTTATTATTTGCAAGTTGTACTCTTACAATATTATAATTCAGTGTTAGTTTAATATCCAGTCAGAAAAAGCAAAGATAATAAGATAAATAATATGCTGGAATAAGACGAGGATAGAAGGTAAAGATTAGTAGAAGTTTTGGCCACTATATCTCCACGTTATAGTAACGTAATCACAACGTGGTATTAACGTGTCTGTATACAATTCAAGAACGTTGTTGGAACGTAACTGAAAAAGTGTTCCCCATTTTAGCCACTTCCAAGTAATAGAACCGTTTCTACCACGTGGCAGAGATTTTGGCAATATACTTTACAGTTCCAAGTATAAGTGGCCAACACGTTTTAACCACTATAAATGCTACTTGGCACTAACATTTAGACAAATTGCAAATTAAGATTTTTAAATACATGGGTGGTAGATTAGCTAACGCTAAAATTATACGAAATATCCAATAATTCCGAAGGGAGGTATTTTAATCAAACTAATAATTATTATATAATTATTATAATCACCGCATTAGTGTAAAAGAAATATACCTAATGCACAGAAATAAAAAAGCTAGGGTTTATTTTTAAAGTTTAATACAAAAATTTAAAATTACATTTTGACTACAAAATTTAATAATAATAATAATAACAATAACAATAATAATTATAATTATTTTTATGCGCCCTTCGACGTTTGCGAAACTGGCGCCTGCTCTTGATGTTAGGCCCTATCTAGGGCGGTGATCACAATTGCTTCTAAACAATAAATGGCAACTGCGCTTCATAAAACATGTCATGATGCTGATCCAAAGAACTGCTGACCATAGGGTAGCCAGGTTTTAGGAAACAAGAAGCGGCAGTGCCAACATGATAATTTTTGTTACTTTTTTATTTTTTTTAGTTTTTATTGTGCGAACTTTTTTAAGAGTTAGTTGTAGTTAATCTATCTCCATGTTCATGCTATTATCATCATCATCATCATCATCATCAACTTCCATCTCCATATTTTTGTTTGTGCATATCTGTATACATATATGTACATATGTCTGCATACTCGTATTCGTATCGATATACACAACAGTACGCACATTTGTATTCGTATCTATGTGTGTATCGTCATCAACATCCATGGACGTATCTATAGATACGTCCATGGATGTATATATATCTGTATCTGTATCTGTATCTGTATCCATAGCAATATTTAAATGGACCTTATTGATTTTAAGTTGAAAAAAATTTTCAACATGCATCTTCATCTTATACAGATCTCTATTCTGGGCTTATTCCAACGTGCAATTGGACACAAAATGGAAAAGGAAAAGCTGTGCAGTGCAGTGGGAGATCTGTGAAAAAATATTTTCTTTATTACAAACAAACCAAATTAAACAAAAACATATATAAAAAAACAGAAGAAACTAAAAATGATGCAGGATTTTTATAAACATTAAAATTTTGTTGTGCCAAATTTAACCTCCCTAGTCCCGGTTTCTTAAATGGTAAACGCATATTAAAAATGCCCGTAGATTGTATAGAGCTTTTCAATTTGGATCTCTAGATGTCTCGAGAGCGTTTGACATAAAATTAAAAAAAAACGTCTGCTGCGCATTTTTTGTACGCCCCTGCCCGTCCCGATTTTTTGGTCACCCTATGTATGAGTAGCACCTACAGTAATCAATTTATTTTCTTTCTTTCAACCCAGGATTTAAATCCAATTGTATTTTAGAAATTTTAAATTTCAAACATTTTAGTTGATTTTTTAAAGTTGCTATTTAGAAGTATATCGTTTGTGATAAAAAATTATTTATACCACTGAAAAAGTGCTTTGAAAACTAAATTTTTTCAGGAAAATTATTAATAATGCCAGGATTTAAAAAAAAACACCTAAACATAGTTTATCGATGAAATTAAAATTACCATAGATTACTAATGGTTATCAACTAATTAACGGCTTATAATTTTATATAGGAGAATTTTTAAAATAAAATTATTAGATCGAATGATATGTTTGAGTTTGTTCTGTTCTGTGCATGGATATATTCCTATAGGGTTATAAAATATTTTATTGTGAATGTGGGTTTTGTGACATTTTTAAAATAAATCGTAAGTTTTAAATCTTACTCTTTTACATAGCTTAAAGAATTTCATTTTGCATTTCCACTGGGGAGGAAACTACAAAATATCGCAGAGTTTACAAATATGTTTTTTTTTTCAAACTTAATCAAAATTATA